GATTTCCCGCACACGCGCCCCGCAGGGGAAGCCCGCATCCCGCCCTCTTCATCGCCTGGTAACCTTCCCGCGAGCCTGGAACCTTGGCGTGTGGGCGCCCCTGCAGTTTCTCCTCCGAGAACCCTGTAAGAGTCCCTGAAAGCGGCGCGCAGAAACATGGACTTTCCCATGAACACGGTCATTACACCAGGTCCTGTTCCTTCCAAGGCTGCAAAAGCACTAAGATGAGCACCTGTAAACGTTGAGCACATGTCCGTTTTCATGCCTGGGCAGGGACCCTCAGTTTGTTAGATTTTATTATTAGTCATTACTCTTCGGTCCTGCTTTATTGCCCAAATAATTTTTCAGCAAACTTCTGTAGGCTTATGGTATTTTGCTGCCATTTTCATAATGCAGTGAGCATTGCCCTAGTACTGGGGCTGATCTATATAATAAAAGCCTAAGTGGCCGGAACGACCAGAACGACTGGTCACTATGATGTTCACTGACCATCAGGGGGCAGACGCTCAACACAGAAGCTGCCCCCTGGTGGTCAGTGCATTTACACAGGGGGAGCGCCGCTTAACCAGAAGCCGGGGCTCATAGCTGGCAAGCACAGCGGCAGTGGAGCCGTAAGGAGCAGTGAGCAGGCAGGTGGTAAGGAGGGGGGGGGGGTCCCAGACTGGAGAGGGCACAGGCTGGGCTGAGGGATCCTCCCCCCCCCCACATGCACGAATTTCGTGCACCAGGCCTCTAGTTTAGAATAAGAGACATGTTTGCCACCCAGTGGGGAAGCAAGTCAAGCAAACAGTGTAAGGAATGGTATACGGAGGTAAATTGGAAAAAATACATTTTGGGGGGCAAAGCTTACCTTCTTGTTCCCAAGACGAACTTAAAAGTACTGTTATTGAGCACATACATACTTTAACATCAGTAAGATACTGTCCACCATGCTGATTCAGGATGTCCCAATTTCCATTCTTACCTCCTTTTCCTCCTCTATCTCCAATTTTCCATTTTCTTCAGTTTGCTTAGAAATATGCTCTAATTTCCTCCCATCTTTAGAAAACAAAACCAGAAACCAAATATATTTCCACTATACTCAAATCTACGTAAACTCACATCTACCCATTTTTACTCTTATAATGTTATAGAAATTTTTCAGTAAGGATACAAGTGGTTGCCTGTTTACAAATCCAACAGCCTGTTATCACTTTAATGTTGCATTTCATCTCTGCAGTTTCCGAAACCGTTGATTTCTAGAGCTACTTTCCTCCAGAGGTAGCTCTTCAGTCAGGCTCATCCTTGTTCTCTACTTTCATGGCATGATTCTGCTCCATGCACCTCAAGCTCAGCTGCATTTAACACACAGCATTTTTGCATGTGTTTTAGTCTAGCCTACAGCACTTACCTTGGTTTTTCCCTGCACTTGATAAACTCATTTCATTTATTAAAAACCCAGTTTGTATTTAACTTTCTACATAAAGGCTTTTCTTTTCCCAAAGCAGAATTAGGCACAACCTTTTGTACCTCTTTTTAAATTTATCTTTAGTCACCCAAGTGTGCCCCTTGAATACTGGGAACGATGCCTTTTCCATCTTTTCTCCAGTGACAGTAATGCCTGAATACACTGTAAATGATTATGAATAGATGTTGGTTAAATAATTATCTCACAAAAGTAAAAAAAAAAAGTCTTTGTAATGAGTTTTAACTAGATTTATTTAATAAGCTTTAACTGTAAATTGATTTTATGCAAATCCTTTTCATAACAAATGCTTTGAACAAGGAAAATGCTTTTTAGTAAAGCAAAAAATTAAGACAGTAAGTTAATTTCTTTTATTGCAAAGAGCCAGTGAAATCAGAATTTGAAGTTCAATTCCCAAATGGAGAAAATAAATCTAATTTCAAAGTAAAACATGCAAGTGTATTTTACAGAGGAGTGGATATACTGCATGTATTCTGTGTAATACATAGTTTAGCATAAGTTAAGTGTTAGTTCTATCACTTATCGATATTCTTAGGCAAGTTGTTTAAACCTTCCGTGCCTCAGTTTTTTCATCTGTAAATTGGCATTAATAATACCTGCCTCACTGGGCTGTTCTGGGCTTCAGTGGGAGAATCTATGTAAAACGTCGTGTAGCACCTGGCACACAGATACATGTATTGGGTACATATTGTTACTATAGTCCCCTAAGTAATACTCCTAGTGTGTACCTATTATTTTGGATAGCACACACTTGAACCTTTCTTCCAGTAATAGTAAAAACTGGTTACCTATGTGTCCTTTCTTGGTCTCTACTGAAATCAGTGACATACTTGCAAGCTGAATGATGCCAACAGACCCAGAAACAACTGATCTCATTCTTCTCAACACCAAGATTTAAAAAAGCAGCTAACAAAAGAAATAACGTAAACTTCAATGAAGATAAAAATAGATTGTTTCAAACATTTAAGTGAGTGACTCTCTCCCTTTTGAGTGAATAAAAATCCTCAAGTTACTGGGTGGAGACCCCAAACTTGCATTTTTAAGTGTCATTAAAGATGATTTTTTCTGAGGCATGTGATCCTTGGACCACACTCAGAAATACTGATTTAAATTCAGTGTTGACCCGGGTCCTCACGCAGGGTTATACATCAGAATGACTTGTACAACTTTATAAAAATATAGGTTACTGGGCCTCACCTCCAAAGAATGATTCCAGGGGTCTGTTATTTTTAAAAAGCCCCTGGGTAACATACAACCAGTTGTATACCATATTCTATGGAAATATTTATAAGTGATTGACAGTTAAAGGTGATGGTTACATTTTTTTTGAGATGTGACTCTTTCTATAACTTGTAGGATATAAAACTTGGAAAAACAGTGGCCCAGAAAAAAGATCAACAACACTATCAATAAATGCCAAGAGCAGATCTTGATTTCTCAAAAGTATTTTCCATGAGTCTATTTTTCAGCAAATAGATGTTACACTAGTAAAGATGTGCTTTTAAAAGTTATTATTCAGTCATTAATGCTAAGATTGGCCACAATGTATTTGCTTGGGAAAAGTGATAAACCTGCTCTGATCGCTAACATCTGTAGGATTTAGAAGTTACATTTCTAGTCAAGGAGACTGTTCTAGGGTCAAGTAAATCATTCAAGGTCACACAACAGGCAGTGGCCTTAGCAAGAGTAGAAATGGTGCTTCGTGACCCCCAGTCCAGTTCTTCCCACCTAACTCCCCCTTCCTTCCCTCAGAACTGTATTCCCCAAATCTCCTTTCCTTTCCCTAACCCAGGAGTCAGCAAACTTTTCCCATAAAGGGTCAGGTGGTAAGTATTTTAGGTTCTGTGGGTTATATAGTTTTTTTTTGCAACTACTCAACTCTGCCACTGTGGTGCCAAACCAGCCACGGACAACAGTAAATGAGTATCTAGTGTGTTCTAATAAAGCTTCATTTACAAAGTCAGATGGTGAGTGTGAATGGGCTGAGGTATGTTGTCTGACAACACCTGCTTTAACCAAAAGACTATGGTTGTTTAATTTTCCCAATCAGGAAGCTGAAGATTCTACAAAAGACTTCCTTTTCTCAAATGTGGGAATATTACTCCCTTATGAAATTGAGATGACAGATTAGAAAAAAAAAAAAGAGATGATTGGAGGTACCAGAATGAATCCTTAAGGATTTAATGCAGAATTTAATTTAAAAACACTTGTTCTCAATATATTTTAGTCTTACTATATGTAGATGAAGCCAGATAACAAGCTACTATACAACAGCATGTTAAAAAAACATGTTTATTTTACACTATGTACAATCAGACACATATTTAAAAGCATTGTCAATTAAAATAAATGAAGATCATAAATCACAATTTAGTTTGTTCTTAGTGTATATACTTACATTAAAATATAAAGACCATATACCAAAAAAGAGCCAAGAGTGTGCATTCTGCTAAAACTTGGTATATACATATTCCATTGGAAAAAAGCAATAAAAAATGACTTGAACCAAAACTAAGTTCCTGTGATGTGTAGTAACCATTATACTGTTTATATGAGGTAGTAACTAAATTATTTTGGCCATGTGTTAAACTCTAAATCAGTGGTTCTCAACCTTCCTAATGCTGCGACCCTTTAATACAGTTCCTCATGTTGTGGTGACCCCCAACCATAAAATTATTTTCGTTGCTACTTCATAACTGTAATTTTGCTACTGTTATGAATTGTAATGTAAATATCTGATATGCAGGATGTATTTTCATTGTTCGCGACCCACAGGTTGAGAACCGCTGCTCTAAATAAAAAAAATAGGAAAATGGTCATAAAATAAGGCCAACAAAAGTAAAAATTCCACTAGAAATTTGAACCACTTCACTCTATGGAATGTTACAGCTCTTCAAAGTGATTATATGAAATGTTTAGTGTGGACTCTTTATTAATGCTAATTTATTCTTTGTGCATACTGTAGTTCAGACAACTGCAGTGTTATATCATGGTACCGCTATTCTGTGACTCAAAATTTTTTCAAAGGTACTGTTTTTAAGCACAGACAAGCAATCTTACAGATTCTGCTTAAATATAAAAAGACCAGTTACTACAACAGGTGGTTAATTGGTTTGTTTCACATAGAAAACAATCCAAATACATTTTAAAAAGATGTTGTGGCGCCAAATGCATATTGACAATGTCACAGCTTACTTTTGTGACTGACTGCATCACATATCAATACTTTGTGCAAATATAAACACCAGTGTACTTGCATTAAAATTAAAAACAAGATTATAAAATGATTACAGCCTCCATTATAACTTTAAAAGTTACAAGATTTATATTCATATTACTAAATTACATATAATAAAAATACAATAGTGTTAAATGTACTGTTTCATTGCCAGCATCCCATTTTGTAATATAGTCACACCAAGAGTATACTAAAGAATTCTTAAAATATTAACTCCAATTGCATTTTCATCAACATTTACATTTGTACAGATAAGACACTTACTTGTACATCTCATAAAAGTACATTATCTACATAAATTCTTAGTGTATGTCTTTAGCAATATGAAGTTTTACAGAAAAATACTGCCTATATGTACAAAGATTACATAACAATGAATTAAGCACTTGTGTGGTTCAATATGCTAAATATATCCATACCACTTAAAACAAAAAGTTTCCCCATCTTGTCTCATGCCACAATAAATTACAAGTAACTGAGCCAGGTTACTGCAGCCTTTGTACAGCTTCAAGCATCCATTAGTGTTGCAGCGGTAGTGTTCTTTTTTCATAGTTAACTGTCAAAGCACATTTCTCAGTAACTGTTTTCATGACCGGCCAGGATGTATAAATTGCTATTTGCTGTGGGGTTATCAGTTGGCCTACTTTCCAAAACCACGACCCTAAAAGTTAATAAACAAACAAACAAAAAACAGATAACAAGAAGTTATTCTTGAAACTAATGCTAACAGAAAAATTTTCCATTGCTTCTTCATTGTATGCCTCTATAAATGCTGCTTATTTGGTTTTTGGACAGAAATCACTTGTAAATCACTATGATTAAAGAGCCAGTTTAGCTCTGGGAAGTAATTTTGCTATGCACCCCCGCTCCCCACCACCTCTATTAGGAATAATTGGGGAAACTTAATTTATTGAAATTTCTAAAAACAATTTATAGTTCAAAAGTCAGAATAAAATCCCAAATCCTATTTGGCACTAACATAAAATTTCTGCTTGTTAGCATACAGTATTTCCTCTTTTTTGTGCTATAACTTATAGTTTAGATAGTATGTTTAAAACAAAACTACTACTGACAGATCTATATATTCCTATTTCTTGGAAGATCAGGCACATTCTCAAAGGCTTTAAAACTGTGACTTGTGAATTCTAACTGGATGAAAATATAATGTTGCATATATTACTGGAGAAATTTCAATTCTCTGGAAAAAGAAACCAGTTTCATGCTGGATTTATAAAACACTATGCTTAGTACTATGTATATAATACAACCCCTTTCATACCTGTCAGATCCAAGCAGTCTGAAAATTCTTGTGCTATCTGAAATTTCTTGTGTTACCTGTTCAATTAAAATATAAATTTAATTTCTGAAATTAAAGACATAAAATTTTATACAGGCATTTAACTCATAGCACTCTGAAAAAGAAACATTCCTGTGACAGAAATAGATCCCTGCATGACTGTGAATTTGTTAAGTCGACATACTGGTGCATCCATTTGTCAGTTTAGGAAAAATTGTGGCTAATTTTGAATTAATCATAAAATGAGAGTAGGAAAACCATTTACTGGTTAAATTATGAAACTAAAGGGGAAATTTTAAAAGCAAAGCACCTAGTCTGTTGTATTTATCAGAAACCTTTTGTCAGTTATGTTGATAGCGAGGCTACTGCAGCAGTAAGCCGCTTGGATCTGGTCCTTCTACTTGAAAGGCTGCAGTGTGGTCCGAAGGGACAAACTTATGACTTGAGTTTGAATCCCAGTTCTTCCACTTACTAGCTGTGACACTGCACAAGGTAAGTAATTTGCTGCAAACAGCTTTGCCTTCTGCAAAATGGGATAGGAAATATCTACATGATAGCAGTATCTTGCAATGGTCTTATAAGTGTTAGTGGGTATAATGCCTAGCTGAGGAGTGCTCAACAGATAACCCTCTTTCTCCTTTCTTTTCCAGTCTCCTGAAATGGTATTTCCCCACGGCACATATTCTCCAAGAGGTTCTCCCCAGTTGGGGAGTTAAGAATAAATCTATCGGAGAAAAAACAACAACCCACTATTTACGTACTGTTTATTGAATGCAAAACATTTCAAATTATAATGTCCGTAACTTCTCTCCAAAATTTGGTAGGTGGAGAAACAATTTGATTTTGAAACGAAATTTATTTCCTCAGTACTGCTACAATTAGTTATTGTGGAAACACCAGGTATTCTTATCTTGTTTGTATCCAGCCCACTTGAAGGATACAGGATATACATGCTCACTCAGGAAAAGTGGCTCATCATGCCTGATCTTCAAGGAATTTTGGGGTTTGCCTACGAGGGACTGTATTCAGTAAGGGATGCTTGTGTAATCTGAAAAAGCCTGTCAGGTGATTTTTGGGAACAAACTCTTCTTTCTTTTTTAAAACAACCCTCTTGTATCCTGCCTATGATGTATGTCTCTTTCACTGCCTACTGTTTATTAGCTGTTGACTGTTCTGACCTCCCTGTTCTATTCCCTCAGGTGATTTTTAAACATCTTCCAGAGAAGTGGCCCTCTTGTGGGAATTGCTACTAGATACACATTAACACAGCAACCTTTCTTGAATATTTACCATAGGCCAGGCATTATGTCAAGCATATTACATGCTTCCTTTCATTTAACCTTTTTTAATTAAAATTTCTTTCATTTACCCTTGGCATTCAGTATTACTTTAGTTTCAGGTGTATACCTTTCATTTAATCTTAACACACCTATGAAACTATTTTGTTATCCTCAATTCACAAATGAAAAAATATAAAAAAGCTAAGTAATATACCAAGGTCACAGTTAGTAAAGCGCAGAGCTGAGACCTGAACTCAGGTGTTCTGACTCTGACCCAAGCCCACCATCACTGGGCTAGACTGTTTACTTTGTTAGAAGACACACTCTGAGCTGAATGACAGTTTAGGACATAAATGGACTATTTTCTTGCTTGAAGCATCTAAGGTTCTCCTCTCCCTCTAATGTTCAAGTAAGAGCTATCCTACCGAGACTAGCGTAGGGGTGCTGGAAGAATTTCTGATGATTTTACTTGCCTAGAATATTCCAGGCAAGTAACACATCTTGTTCATGTTTATAACCCCAGCATTCTCTGGTGTAAATGTTGAACTGAATTGAATATGTCACATGACTTGGAGTTCAATTATTCCTGTAGTTAAATTAAGGTAGGAAGGACTCAGACTATACAGCTAAAGGTTAATAATAGAAAAGGGAAAAGAAGCAAAGAATCTTATAAATGTCAAGTGAATAAGGGTAATAGAAATAGGAGGCAAGGTGGCTTCAAGGGAAATGGAGAACCCTCTGCCATTATCGACTGCACTGGTCAATACTTCTGAAAACAAAGTAGAAAGTGCCTCATGACAGAGTGCCTCATCAGCACTCTTGTCCCAGGTGATGGTCTGGGAAAGTTGAGAGAAAATCACTGTTGGCTCACGTTTAGCAGTATTAGGAAGTTCTTGTTCTGAATATAAGGGTGATTGATTATCTGAAAGCACATGAAATAGGCACTAAAATTGTCTGAGTAAATGGGGAGAGAGAGGTGGCTGTGAAGTATGTGCTATTACTTTTATCACTAGACTGAATACAGTAAATATTAATAAAGTTAGCAAATCAAGTATTCCCTGTACCAGAGACATTTTCTAAAGTTAAATAAAACTGTTTGATGTAGAATTTGATAATGCCTCATGACTATTTAATGGATGCAGTTTTTAAGATGACTTACCTCATTAGATCTAAAACTTCTACCTTGCATTCCATGTTTCCAGAAAGCTAGCACACTGTCTTGTAGGCAAACTAGCAGGCAAGAACAGCTCAGTTACTGTTAATAGTACAAAGTTCAACTGATAAGCATCATTTCATCCCTCTCTGTCTTGCATAGCAATATTTCAATTAATAACTAATGTCAGTCACTCCATATTTATATGGCATTTTTACCTTTGAAATAAAAAAATACTATATAGAATTTAGTCATCTTTTTGACAAGAAAAAAGAAAATTTACCAAAAATATTTGTTAAAGAAATTTCTTGATGAAAAAAAAAAGGTTTATCATTTTTGTTTTTACCCTGGCTATGTGTTTTTAAATATGGATTACATTTTAACATTTTGAGCAGATGTCCCTTAAAACTGACTTCTTATCATCAGCATTTGCTTGCGGGAGAGAGATGTTCTAGTTGGAGGAAAGAGTAAAAATAGAACCATGAAGAAGACAAATGAAGTATCTGTCCTTGGCCCTAACTTCTACCAACAGATATACATGCAAATGTCTTTATCTTACTGCTAAAGGACACCAGAGTAAGTGTGTATAAACAGTGAACTACCTGTCATCCATTTTCCCTAGCGCTATCTCATATATGATCATTTCACCTTATTTTTCCTGAATGTAATCATTTTAGAATACTAATTATATAAGAAATCCCTTCTTGGAAAAAATTCTTGTCAAACAAAATATAGGAAGGAAATTCTATATACTACTTAAAACTTTCTGATCAGCAGATATAAGCCAAAAATACAATAGAGTATATTAACTAAATTTTAAAGTACTTATAGGAAAATTAGAAGAAATACAAATTCATAACTTTATGAAAAATAATTATTTCTCTTGAAAGTACAAAATCTATAAAGAAGATAATATTATTTGGGTTGTATCATAGTTATTAGCTATTTTAGAGAATGTATAAAAGTGAAGACTGATATTGACTATTATATCCTATATTTTAAAAAATGAGTCCTTAGTAATATATTTTTATAATATTGGGTAATCATCAAATAAATTATTTTAAGCAACTCATAATGCAATTAAACAAAAATACAAAACTGTGACTTGCCTATTGATTCAATCTGGAAATCAAAGGTGAGTTCTGATGATAATTTTCTGCTAGATTTTAATCTTCCTTGGAGATTTACTATTTTTATACAACCTAGAGAGAGAAAAAAAGTCACTGAGAAACTAAGGTAAGAGGAAACGTTATTAAAATAAGATGTACATAAATAAAAACTTACAGTCCAAGCACACAAGAATGGTGTCTCTCTCCAGTTGGGTTACGTGAGTGACACTTGTCTGTGGAGTATCTGTAAAACAAACAAACTCAATCAACTTACAGAAAAAAGGAATTATTAGAACAAAGGACATTAAAAATAAAAGAATTCTGAACATCACTGAAGTTGAAATGGATATATATTTTCAGCTGAACATAGTGGCTGAGCTAGGTTGCTTGTGTTCAGACTATGCAAGAGCTAATCTATGTGAGTGCTCAGTGAAGTATTAACTACTAGAGACCCGGTGCACAAAAATTTGTGCACTCGGGGGGGGGGGGGCCCCCCAGCCCGGCCTATGCCCTCTTGCAGTATGGGACCCCTCGGAGGATGTCCACCTGCTGGCTTAGGCCCGCTCCCTGGGGGATTGGGCCTAAGCTGGTAGTCAGACATCCCTCTGGCAGCCTGGCAGCCCTCGGGGGATGTCCACTTACCAGCAGGGAGCAGACCTAAGCTGCAGTTGGACATCCTTAGTGCTGCTGAGGAGGTGGGAGAGGCTCCAGCCACCACCGCTGTGCTGGCAGCCGTCAGCCTGGCTTGTGGCTGAGCAAAGCTCCTCCTGTGGGAGCGCACTGACTACCAGGGGACAGCTCCTGCATTGAGCATCTGCCCCCTGGTGGTCAGTGTGTGTCATAGTGACCGGTCATTCTGCTGTTAGGGTCAATTTGCATATTACCCTTTTATTATATAGGATAGAGGCCTGGTGCACGGGTGGGGGCCGGCTGGTTTGCCCTGAAGGGGGGTCCCGGATCAGGGTGGGGGTCCCGCTGGGGTGCTTGACCAGCCTGGGTGAGGGGCTGATGGGTGTTTGCAGGCTGGTCACACCCCCTTCAGGGTGGGGGTCCCCACTGGGGTGCCTGGCCAGTCTGGGGGAGGGGCTGAGGGCTGTTTTCAGGCTGGCCAAGCCCCCCCGGCGACGGAAGCTCCCAGCCTCTCCTTTTTTTCTTTTCTTTTTTTTTTTATTCTGGGATTTATTTACCTTTTATAATTGAATCTTTGCAGCCTTGAGTGGAGCTCAGAGCCAGCCAGGGCGGGCGGGAAGCTTGGCTTCCTCCATCACTGGGGCAACCAAGCCTCCTGCTTGCTCCAGCTCCCTGGCTGCTGGCCGCTATCTTGGTTGGGTTAATTTGCATATAGTCGCTCTGATTGGCTGGTGGGCGTGGCTTAAGGCGTAGTGAAGGTATGGTCAATTTGTTCAATGACTTGATTTCCATCAAGTAAAATGAAGAATATCCCGAGCTTTGTATGAACATCAAAACTGAAACTGCTGAGCACACTCAAGTTTGGGAACCACTGGTTATGTTTTATTATTTTTTTTTTAAGAATGTCTCACAAAACAGCAGAATACACCTCTGAAGACAGGAGGCAAAATAATGCTAGCTCTGTGAATTGTCTCTTCTTCTCGTGCGAATCCATAAACTGCCACAGAGCGACAGAAAGGAGCTCAATGAGAAGATGGAACCACTGGTTGTTTTAAAAGTGTCAAACAAATGACTGTCTTAAGTCAAGTCATCTTCCTTTTTCCAGTTTAATAAGTTACTCAAGATTGGATTTTTATGCACTAATGAGAGAGATATATAATACCTTTATTTTGCCTAATGAAAAATATTAAATTTATTACTTATAAATCTAGTATATGTCTTGGCCTTACTAAATCAATAAAAATCACAAACCTGATTCTGTAAACCACGAAGAGGTAGAATTTGGATTGACTGTTTCAAATCGAACCACTTGGTTGAAGTCTCTCCCTTTACTGACACCAACACAAACTAATGGGTACTCCTGTTCGGGAACTACCAGCATTTCAAACATTCTAAGTGGACATGGTATAGGAAAATCTATGTGCTAGAGAAAGAAACAAAAATATGTTAAACAAAGGAAAACAAAAGCCAAATAATTTCACGAGAACCCCACTAAGAATTTTTAGTTTTATGAAATATACAAAACAGATCTCTATTATAAATATTGCTTCTTGTCACAGAAACTTGAGGTATGCAGACAAATCCAAATTATGAAGTATCTTTATGAGGATTTTAAATTTAGCACTGCAAATTTTTTAAAGTTAAAAATTACTTAATTTTAGGATATTAGGCCTGGAGGAGAACTTATTAATCACTTTCCAACCCTCTCTTTTCAGAGTTGAAAACTGAGACCCAGAAACTGGGTGACTGGCCCATGGTCCCCCAGCCCTTTGTGGCAGAGTCCTGTCTCCCAACTCAATGCTGCTTCAGTAACACGCCTCTGCCTTCTTATCCAACTGAGCAAAATGGATCAGAAAACAGAAATGCAAATTAGCAAGAGACCCTCCTCTATAAGTGTGGTCAGAAAAAAACACATAAGAGAAGCTGAGCTCCATATCTCAAAGTGGTTATATTTAATAAATTAACTTAGTTATAATGCAGCCATTTTAATTTTACATAACATTTAAAATTATTTCTATAGTGCTATAAAGAGATTAAATGAGATCATATTTTTGAAGTCTGGAAAACACTAATTTCATTAATAATCATCAGGGAATAAAACCATGAGGTACTATACATATGGCTAAACTCAAAAAGAACAACAATAACAAGCATTACTCAGAGAAGCAAACGAATGCTCATAAATTGGAGTATAAATTGGAATTGACCACACTGATTAATTATATTATCTGTTGATGTTGAGCATTCCTGAGGACTCTGCAATAACACTCGTAGTTTTATGTTCTAGAGAATACGAGTCCACACATGCACAGGAGATTTGTGGCTGGGATTTAAAGCTCTATGTGCACCTGTTGCTCCCACATCCTTTCCTTCCCCGTGACTGCTGGAGAGCCTTCATCAACACCCTCCAAAACCCCTCTCTCTAGTTCTCTCATTACCTGGGAGTATGCTTTGCATACAATCTGTCATATTTTTAATAAGGTAAAACACTTTAAATAATTCTCTTTGAAATGTGGTAAGAGCAGTAAAGCATCGAGAAAATAATGCTTTTGCTTAATTTTGTCAGCAAATAAGAAAACCGACAGATTTTGAACACTTCTGCTTAGCTTCCAATCCTAACGAAGCAATGAGCATGAGTCACTGACAGAAGAGGATTCCTGTGCAATCGTTTTAAATCCAGTTGCTGTTGGTGACAGTTCTTGAGGGTAGTGACTACATCTTACTCATCTTTGTCTCTCTAGTTAAACAGCACTGTGCCTGCTTTGTAATAAGAACAAAAATGTTTTTTGAGAATGTCTTTAATTTGTAAGTTTTATTTATGATAAAAATTTTGTTTAGTGAAGCAAAAGCTTTGTCAGAAATGTCATTAAGAGGAAGGAAGGATATAGAAAGCATAAGAATCTTTTTGAACACATCTGATACGCGCTGAGTATAGAAACATCATAAATACTTATCAGAATAATGTCAAATACAGAAACAACATACAGATAGTTTTGAGCAGAGAGACAGAGAAAGGAGAGTTGGGCTGAGATTAAAGGGGGCAGGTAAGGGCCTGTAGCTCAGGGAATTTAAGCGAGAAATCTTGAGGGAGACTTGCAAGTAGAAATGTACTGTAAATCTACTATTTTAAAATAGTAAGAAATAAAGGGCTCTGAAGACATGGGAAGCTTAAAAAGCGCCCACTCATGTTTTCTCTAGGCCAGGTAGATGACACAGGAAGCATGGCCCCGACTAACGAAGCCGAAGTGAAAGGTTTAATAACTTAATCTGGATAGAGTAGCAAAGGAAAGAGCTTTAAAAAATCCATTTGGAATTTCCTTGCTGTGACTAAGCCTGTACTTCACAGAGTTTTTCCTCAAATTTAAGTTATAGCTGAGTAATACTAAATGTTTTTAAAAATATTCATTAACTAGCACTGGTTGGGCATCATCCCATGCATTGAAGGGTGATCCTGGTTGGGGGCTCAGTCCCAGGTCGGGGGTGTGCAGGAGGCGGCCTCAATGTTCTGCTCTCACATTGATGTTTCTCTCTCTCTCTCCCCACTTCCTTTCTCTCTAAGAATTAATAAAATATTAAAATATATATGCATTAATTCAAGATTCTAGAGAAGCCCAGGCATAAAACAAAACAAAACAAAACAAAACAAAACAAAACAAAACAAAACAACCATCCAAGGGAAAGCCTGGGCAAATTAACAGGTAGGCATATAATCAAAATAAATAATTTCCCCCTCATACGGCATCCCCCGTCCTCATCCCTCGGCCAAACACCAACCTGTAGGTTGTTTCTCTACTGTGATGGAGCAGGTCAAGCAGAGAACATATTCAAGCATTTCATTGCTCTTTTAGCACATATTCTTGACCCTATCAGACTATATATAGATTTGCCAGACACTATTTCTAGCTCCTACTGCCATATCCCTGCACTATTTCTCTAGTGCAGTGGTTCTCAACCTTCCTAACGCCACGACCCTTTAATACAGTTCCTCATGTTGTGGTGACCCCCAACCATAAAATTATTTTCGTTGCTACTGCATAACTGTAATTTTGCTACTGTTATAAATCGTAATGTAAATATCTGATATGCAGGATGTATTTAGGCGACCCCTGTGAAAGGGTCGTTCGACCCCCAAAGGGGTCGTGATGCACAGGTTGAGAACCGCTGCTCTAGTGTCTTTCAAAACCTTTTTCAGGCCAAGTGAGTTCTTACAATTGGGCAGATTTCCACTACCTTGCCACATAATCTAAAATCATTAAGTTAACTTGAGAATTAACTGGGGAAAAAATTTTTTTTTGAAAGAACAGGAAATTGGGCTTAACTCAGCTTTTATATTAAGAATGACTTAGGTTGACTTTCATGCTTACCTTAATTAACATGAATTTCTGCATTGGTTCAACCCATTCCAATAGAACAATGCTAGTCTGAAGTGCCCCACATAGGTATTTATGGCCTGTGTAAGGATTTCTCACTGTCGAGGCAAAAAAATATAGTAAGTTCTCTTATGATACAAAGTCCTTACGATAATAGTTACATGCTCCAAAAACAAACAAATAAAAGCTGGCTGCCAGTTCAATTTCTTAGTTAAACTACAGGATGCAAAAGAAATACTGCCTCAGGGAACAGCATGAAACTCCCTCATCACTTGCACGATTTTTGTTTGTCTACACAAATGAATTTGCTGGCTGTTATGAGACCTGGGGGCCAGAAGAAGGACTTAGGTCTTAAGGTGGCAGGAAGATTTGGGGAGAAGTTGCCAAATTGATAGGCTATAGCACATTTAGGGACAAGTGATTCAGGGTGCTTTTGGTAGTAATATTCAGAGGCAGTAATGCTTTGGTTATAACAATACGATGACATAAATCACATCTCAAAATACAGATTTACAAATAATAAAACTGAATTGTCTAAGAGTTTTTTAAGGGAAGAAAACTATTTTTTTTTGTTTTTGCTATATGCAAATAAAACAGCTAGTTATTATGGGATGAGTGAGGAATTTAGGATAGAGGTATGTAAATAGGGAAATTCAACCTTCACAGCATAAGGTTTCACAATTAAAGGTATTAAAATATATGCTCACTGACTATCTGCAGTCTCATAAGCCATTACAAAGCACGATGGTAAATGGTAAATAACAGGTCCTTTGAAAAATAGGGTGTCATAAAGTGCTGTAATAAAAAGTTATCCTACTTTCTCCATTTATCCAGTCAATAAATTATTTGCAAAACAACTGTTTTGTGCAAGGTATTATATTAGGTTTAGTTTACATGGAGACAGAATTCAAGACATTTGTTACTTTGAGGCGGGGGGGGGGGGGGTGAAATGAAAAACCTATTGCTGGCAGAATGCCCTGGAGTAGTACTTTTTACACTCGGTTTAAAAATAAGCCCCTTCGTGTTTTCTTGTCCACTTTGTGAAGCAGAAGAACCACACATGATTGGACAGTTTACTTACCAACACAACACTTCTGACACCACTTGGTTTCAGGGATTTTTGCTGATACAGCAAATTTCCTAAATGTAAATGAAAATTAATATATAATACATGTAGGTAAAGTGAGTATATGATAATGAAACTGCTATAGATCAGTGGAGAAGAAATTAGTTTTTCCAAAACTGGTGCTGACATAATAGGTCATTTATTAAAAACCAGAGGCCCGGTGCACGGATTCGTGCCCCAGTGGGGTCCCTTGGCCTGGCCTGTGCTCTCTTGAATCAGGGACCCCTTGGGGATGTTGGACTGCCGGTTTCGGCCTGATCCCCACAGGCCCGGCCAAGGGACACCACTGGGGCACGAATCCGTGCACCGGGCCTCTAGTATGCATAAGATCTTTGGTTAATCTCCTCCCGCCCTCCCCCTCCCCTCTCCCCTCTGAGATTCATCAGTCTGTTCCATGTTTCCATGCCTGTGCATTGAGCATCTGCCCCCTGGTGGTCAGTGTGCGTCATAGATAGTGGTTGCTTAGGCTTTTATATTTATAGATATTTATAGATAAGAGTAAATTGGATCCCTTTCTCAATTCCCCCTTTAATCAATTCTAAATGGATTAAAGTTTAAATATGAAAAACAGAACTATCAAATATTTAGATTGTAGAAGATGATGACCTCAGGATTTCTTTAAAAAATGCAGAGAGGACAAATCATACAGGAAAATACTGATAATCTTTAATTGACATTTTTCCACAGAGGCATCTCAAGCTACAGGTGGCATTCAATTTGGTGAATGAACTTGTTGAATACATTGAGAACTCTGGTTTACAAAAAGTTACCACTGAGAAAGTGAAAAGATAAGCCACAAACTGGAAAAGATCTTTTTAGCACATATAATAAATTTAGGCTACGTAAAAATTTGTCTTATCACTAAGACAATTCATAATAACTTTTTAAAAAAATATATATATTTTATTGATTTTTTACAGAGAGGAAGGGAGAGGGATAGAGAGTTAGAAACATCAATGAAACAGAAACATTGACCGGCTGCCTCCTGCACACCCCCCACTGGGGATGTGCCCGCAACCAAGGTACATGCCCTTGACCGGAATCGAACCTGGGACCCTTCAGTCCGCAGGCAGACGCTCTATCCGCTGAGCCAAACCCGCTAGGGCCATAAGAACTTTTTATTTAGACATTTTTATTTCTCTACTCAGAAAAAGTGGGATGTAGATTTTCTGCAAAGTACTTTAGGAGATTTGCAAATATTCAAATTTACTGTGCAAAAATCCATTTAAAATGATATTTTTAAACTACAATTTAAAAAAACCAGTCAAATATCTTTTATAATAAAAGTTAATAAGACTGCTATATATAATTTTTGTAATATAACGTTAATATAATAAGTTAATATACTAAGTGGTACAATCCTCAAATTATACTCCTCCATGTCTGTACACATATTTAAACTTTTAAATATGTCACAGATTAGATGTCATTACTCCGCTCCATTTTATTTTATTTATTTTAAAATCAGAGTTGTGTTTTGCTGGTAACAAAGCCATACTGGGAAGAATTTTACATTTATCAAGTAATCTAATTTATGATTGATAAATTATAAAAAATGCTCCTTTTATTTATGCCGGAGTTTCATACAGCTTAAAGCAAAACAAAAATTCCCACATCCTTAAGCAAACTGCTTGAACCAAAGTCCTTTTGAGAGTTTTTAAAAATCTGAACCAAGCCCCTGATAGATCTCCATGGGTATCATAACGTTCCTGGTTCACACTTGTGAACTTGTCCCCCAGCTCCCAAGGTTCACTAAGGGGTTAGGTTACTGAATCATCAAAACCCAGGAGGATTAACTGACTGCCAGAATCTGAAAGATCATAAAGGAGAACATGTGTGAAAATGCATTACTTCTTATAATTTTTCATTATACATAATTTCTACTAACCCAAACTGAGTGTTTTTTCAACTTCTATAGTATAACTACTTATTAGAGTGACTTAACATATTATGTTTAAGGATGCAATCAATTAGATGTACAGTTACCTTGGCAGTATTCTGTCAGGGAGTTTGTGTGCTGGAATAGCAACAGGTAACTTTTGCATTTGTCTTGCATAATCAAAAAGCCCTGGTAAATTATGGGAATAAAGCTGAGAAGCTTTACCTGTAGAGAAAAATAAACATAACATAAAAGCTAATAATATAAATAGGAACAATTATAAGGTACTTAAATACTAAAAGACTTACCAGATATTGATAATAAGCAATTGTTCATTACATACAACCATGTACACCTTCGGGGAAATAGCTGATAAAAAAAAAAAACACAAGGTTTACAAAGGATATTAGGTAACAGCAATGTAATATGTGCATATTAACCTAAGCTGTCATATCAATAGGTCAGTTTTTAAAAAAGAAACTTATTTTGAATAGAAATTCATTTTAGAAGGCATTTAAAACAAGATGACACACATACATGCACATTTATATGGGAGGGAAACAATAAATTAGCAGTGCAATTTCATTATCTAAGTCTTAACTTGCTATGATTAGCTCGAGCCTGGTTTATGATAAGGACTAGGTAATCCCAAACTCCTAGGAAAAGGACATTTTCAAACAGTGTCTATGCCTTTAATTTGGTTCTAGGGTTAGATAGCTAAGACTGTCTTGTGTACTTCCCCCAAAATGTTCTTATGTATGCATATGAACACGCAGGGCTTTTGGAACAGAAGGACAGGAGGATCACAGTGCAGTGGAACATAGGATATGAAAAACTAGGTGTAGAGAAAAATGGCTGAGAGAATATGATAAAGACTTATCAATCATAAAGGATACATATATGGAATTCATTACTGAAATCTAGTACTTAAGAACTGAGAGACATCTCTGAAAGCTTGAAAGTGATTAGTTTTTAGGGCAAAGGGAATTTTATGGAACATAGTCCATGTACTTTGAAGAAAAAAATAACTGCTCTCATTTGGATACTTCATCATGAGCATCAGTGGGTCTCAAAGTGGTCCTTGCACCAGCATAAGCATCGCCTGGGCATTTGTTAGAAATGGAAATCCCTGGATCTCACTCCAAACTTACTGAATAGAAGTTCTGAAGGTGGGCCCAGCAATCTGTTTCAACCAGCCCTTCAGGTAATTCTGATGTACAGTGAAGTTTGAGAACCACTGATGAGTGTAATCAAAGCATTCTGATTTAACAAGCTTAGCTACTGGCTTTGCTCTGGAAATTCCTACTAGGCTACTCCAAAATAGACTGGGATGAGGGTGGGGGATGGAGAGAATGAAGAAGTAAGTGAGGAAACATATCAAGGCCTGTAAGGACATTAACCTCTGTCTCTCTTGCAACCTTCTACTCATGGTCATTTATGGTCCATTTCAAATGTTTCTCCCCATCTCCCCCCAGGAGGTGCTAGTGACTTCTGCTTCTGTGGCCTCTACCTTGTACCACATCTAACTCTGTGTGGTGCAGTTATTGGTTTGTGTGTCTGTTTCCTCTATTAGATCATGAGCTCCTTAAGGGTAAGGACTAGTATGTGAATGTGTCTTCAGTACCCAGTAAATAGAACATGCTCTATAAAGGTTTTATGAATGAGAGGCAGCAAATCACAGAATTTAAATTATTTATTATCTATTGTCTACTTATAATAACTTAAAAATTAATAATAAGAAAAAACACAAAATAACATGCCTGTTCCATTGATGTTTCATGAAGTTCATTAAGATTCAAGGTATAAATCCCTTCTTCGGCACCAAATATCAAGTACTGATCTGAAATGACAAAAAGAATTCACTGATTTTGAGATATACCACTTTAAATTTAGGGTCTAAAATTAAGTAAATATGCATTAGGAAAAAATAACTGATTTATAAGAATTACATATTTTTTATTTTAATGTGTATAAGTGGTTAGACACTCTAACTTAATGAACTGAATTATATGCAAATATTACCCTCAAAGCAGTGAAGAAACTTTTATGTAAAAAACATTTTGAAGAGTGGCAAGCTGGACTTCTCACCCACCGGAGGGTGCTAAGGACTGGCAGAGAATCTGCAGTTCCTTTTTAAAAATTCCTTAGGATCATGTGCAACTGACAGAATGTAAATCAAGAACAGCTGATACAGATTCGAAATTTGTGCAAATGGACTATTACTATTATAAGCACTAATATAAAAAAAGAACTGACTTGTGCCCATTTAGAAGTTCATTAAAACTTGGATACTTGCTAGAGTACTTGATATCTTCTAGAAAATACCAGAAGTTCGGTCGTGATCTTGTTTGGTCTGTTTTTACAACATACACTTCTCCAGATTAAACTGAAGTACAGAGAACAACTCAGAATGCGTGAGCACTCCAGCACTGCCCGGTGTTCAGGATTAGTTCTGGTATTTACAGGCACAGGCTGTGGTCAGACAACTGAACTGGCTTCAAGCTGCAGCTCTACAACCGAATGGCTGGGACCCTCTGAGTGTCATTCTCTCTACCTGTGAAATGAAAGTACCTATACCTTGGATTTTTAAGGTTTAGAGAGAGAGAGAGAGGGAGGGAGGGAGGGAGGGAGAGAGAGAGAGAGAGAGAGAGAGAGAGAGAGAGAGAGAGAGGAGAGAGAGAGAGAGAGAGAATCTTATATAGTTATTAAGATACAGATATTATAGTCTTTAGTGCCTAATGACAACTATTGTTATTATGACCCTTTTTAAGGTGAGAGATCCTCTAAAGTGGTCACCAGATCCTGAATCCTCAGTAGTTAAATTCCTTTAGCAATGGCTGTGTCTAAGGCACAGATATTGAATGATTGTGCTGCAGAAAGGAAGAAACTTTCCTGGAGGAAATTAAGGTGGCAGAGAGTGCATGGCTTCACTATATTGATATAGGGACTGCATGGTGAAAAATTTTTTAAAGATTTTTTATTGATTTTTAGAGAGAGAGAAGAAGGGAGAGGGAGAGAGAGAGATAAACATCGATGTGAGAGTGAGACATTGATTAGCTGCCTACCAGGGACTGAGCCCGGAACCTGGGCATGTGCCCTGACCAGGAATTGAACCAGCAACCTTTGGGTGTGTATGGGATGATGCCCAACCATCTGAGTCAGGGCTACACAGTAAAATTTTAATGTCATGTGTCACCTCAAGCACTGCTAATAGCATAAAAAAAATTTACCTTAAATATGTTTTTAATTGTAACAAAAATTTTCTCAGAAAGATTCAGAAAATAAATAAAATCAAATGCTTTCATGGCCTCAAGTTTAAAAAACAATTAGAAAGATAACAGATAAAAACATATAGTACTACCTCTGGTATCGGGGTTTATCCATGATGTTGCACAGTGAATTTTCAAGGGACACCCATTAAAAACCTTTGAAAAACAAGCACCCATCTAGAAAAATGAAGAATAAACAAATTAAGATACCAAGCCACAGTCCTTTGCCTTACAGTGGTACCTCAAAGGGTCCAGGCACAACAGTGAGTGTCAACTGACACAAGATTTTACTTTAAAGAGTTATTTTATTTTCCCTATCTTCTCAAATAAACGAAGCAGTGATAGCAAGCAATTCTGAACAATAATTTATGTACAGAAATATTACTTACACATCAAGAGCAACATAATATTCCGTGGTAAGAAGAAAATCATAATCTCTACAAAGGTAAAAATTTTATTTGGTTCTATGAGCCTAAAATCAGTGAATTTAATATTAAAAAGTAAAAGAGGTATGATTGATTTAAAAATTCATATATGTAATTCAATCTCAAAACATACAAACTCACTTTAAAAAAAAATGGAGCAATCTGATGATTTTCCCTGGAAGGATTCAACAGAAAAGCTTTATTCTTTGATGTTGATATTTATTTGAGGCCATTTACAAATCTTTCAGAAAGTACCTTATAATGAAAATCAGTATCACTCATTTTAACTTTTTATTTTCAAAGAGTAAAACATTAATTTTCAGGTAAGAATAAACACAATTAAGAATGCTTTCTCATTTAGTCATGTTTATTACCAACAACTTGTGAGAAAAAGAACATACAAATATTTGGTCGGAAGAACGTGTGCTTCATTTTATATCACTAATGTTTTCTTTACAAAAGTGGAGATAATCCAGAGTGGGGAAAAAGGAGGCTTACAGTTGTTTGTATGCAATATAACATAAAAATTAATAAGTAATCATACAGGAATAAACTCTTGTGTTTCGTGTAATCACAACAGTAAACCTACTTTTGCCCCACCCTGTATGCTGAGAAAACACATCACTAGTTGACTATAATGGATTAAAAATATTAACCTAAAATATATAAATCTTAAGATTTCCTTTATCCTCAAAAACATACCAACCAATATTTCAAAGGCTTTTGTACCAAAAAAAGAGTAACAGCCAGGCAATACCATGAGGTGGCAGTATACTGTTAAAAAATGTTTTTATGGTGTAGGGCAGAGATTATATTGCTTTACTAACAAATAATTAAATTATCCATTCAGATAGCTACCAAAAGTCGTATGTTAAAGTAATGCTAAACCCTCTAAAAATCCTCGTGACAAAATGGGCTACAAAACAAACGAGTCTCAACCGTAAGCTGAGTTGTTAGTTGGCCCTGTCTGGCGTTCCCTATTCATCAGCTCCTCCCCGTGAACGGCATACCTGGCGTAACAGTTTTATCTTGTAGCCAGATAGGAAATGTCATCCTTATTGTACACATAACTCCGCTAGACTTGGGAGCTCTTTAAATTCAAAGCTGCTTTTATTTTGTAAGATAAAAATAGTTATTTAGATCTTTATGCTAATTAAAAAGTAAAGTTAAAAAGTAAAAAGGCTAGAAAAGTATAGTTGGGAGGTTAAAAACTAGAAAAACTATGGACATCTAGTGTTATGCAGTTTTGGATTATAGCTTTGTAGAAGTGAAAATGTAGTCTGTCTGTACTAACCTAAAGCCACACTGAGTTAAAATAATTTTAATCCTAGGACAGTATGGTCTAATAAAAAACCCCCACCTACAGCAGAGTACATTATAGGACATCTAAGATCTAGTTGTTGGTCTCGTTAGAGTTGTAGGTCTTATTAGAGTTAGGTGATGTTTTGTGATCTGGGTGACTAAGACATTTGGGTCTCAGCTTTACCCTAAAATTCAATGTTTTGATAATTGAAAACATGTTAGAAAAGTGTTGTATCTACATCCTGTACTTCCTATTATATCCATATGCCTTTTTCACATTTCTTCAACAATATCTGCAAGGAAGATATTAATAAAGTTTGGAATAAAGGAACTTTAAAATGTATAATTTTATCAGGAAAACTACTTTTTAGATGTAATAAATATTGAAATTACCAATCTTATAGATTTTTTCAACAATCATGGAGGTTCTTTCAAATAGGCAAATGATCTAACCAAAGGTACACATATGAGCAATTGTTTATCACTGTATTTATTTTGAAAACTTCAGCTATTTGATATTTATACTTACATGCACTTTAGGTGTTGGGGGTAGACCGTTACTAATAGGCTTCTAGAAAAAGAACACATGCATGATTACACCTCTTTTGTTGCTGTTTGGTATAACAAACACACATATTAGAATAAAATAGACAAATACATTCTTTTTGTAAAACAAAACACTGTAGATAAGGCTGAAGTTCCCTATAAATCTCCCACAATCCACTTATTCCTAGTACCTGTGCCTCACAAAACCAGGTTAGTGTCTATCCTTCCAAAACTTTCTCTAGCCAATTATATGCACTCATGTATTTGTGTATCCTTCAAGACTTTTTGTATATATTCATATAAATGCCCCCACAGAAAGTACTGTTTTTGTGTGTGTTTAAGAACAATAATAGTTATGCACTAATGTGCAACTTGTCCTTTGCCTTAATACTGGGCCTTGGACAGCATTTCATACCAGTACATACAGATCTGGTGCATTTGTTTTAACTGTGGCACAGCATGACTATGACATAATTCAGCTATTCCCTAATTGGTATTGAGTAATTAGGTTACTTTCAATTCATTACTGTAATAACAATATGGAAACCATCACCCTTGCCTATACCTTACTATGCAATGTACGAATGTTTGTTTGTTTTTTAAACCTCATCCGAGGACTTTTTTCCCATTGATTTCCAGAGAGTGTAAGGGAGGGAGGAGAAGAGAGAGAGAAACATTGATGTGAGAGAGACACATCAATTGGTTGCCTCCTGTACTTGCCCTTAAGCAGCTGAGGAATCTGCACCTGAGGTATGTGTCCTTGACCAGGAATTGAACCCACGACCCTTTGGTCCCCAGGCTGACGCTCAACCACTAAGCAACTGGCCAGCTGTGTGAATGTTTTTTAGGGTATACCGTGAGAAATAAAACTACTGGAACATGGGATCTGTACCTTTTACATTTTAGTGGATACCAACTGCCAAACTTTCACAGCGCCCACATCACATCACACCCACCAGTAATACATGAGAGTCCTGGTTCCTTATAGTCTCACAGACACTTAACATTTGTTATCAAACTGATTAGTAAAAAATATTTTGTCATTCATTTGCATGCCTCTGATTTCTAGGAGGGTTGAGAATCTTTCTAAAAAAATGTTTACTGGCTCTCTGTATTTGCTCTTCTGTACATTGTTTTTTTTTCCCATATATTTTTTACTAAGTTACCTTTTTCTTATCTATTAGCTGGAGTTCTTGATATAATCTAGATTTAAATACAGTATCTAATATATATATTACAAATGTGTTCTTCTAGTCCAGCCGTGGGCAAACTACGGCCCGCAGGCCGGATCCGGCCCGTTTGAAATGAATAAAACTAAAAAAAAAAAAGACCGTACCCTTTTATGTAATGATGTTTACTTTGAATTTATATTAGTTCACACAAACAGTCTATCCATGCTTTTGTTCCGGCCCTCCGGTCCAGTTTAAGAACCCATTGTGGCCCTCGAGTCAAAAAGTTTGCCCACCCCTGTATCTAGTCTGTAGATTATCTTCACTTTGCTCACAATGTATTTTATTAATTGAAGTTTTACATTTTGATTTATTCAAATATATTAACCATTGGTCAGCATATACTGATAATTACAAGAGCAAAAATAGCACATATGCTCACCTACAATATTCTCAAGAATATCAGATGTTTTCCCAAGGAGCTACATTTCTAGAGTATATGATTTGTCCCCTGGAGAAAGAATCTCTTTGGGAGAGAATATACTTTAAGTATAAATTGTATTAAAGTCTAGATTTCTTTCAAGGTTAACCTGAATAGCTTTTTAAGGAATGACTTGTATTTTTCTCTCCATCTGACATAAATCAGAACTATTTAAATGATACAACAAAATTAACTAAAAAGCTGCTGTTGATTTCATAATTCTGTGATATGATACAAATATTCTGTGTAGTACCACTTATATAAGTAACTATTAGACACTTCTGAAATTGACTATATACAATTTTACTTTGTAGATCCGTTTATGAGAATATACAGCCTGTTATTGCCACAAATTTCTGATAATATTTTTTCCATTTGGCAAATACTCTATGTACTTATTTTTATATTTATGTTCCTAAATTACCTTCTATCATCTATTTTGTGAAACATTATTTTTAATTAGGGAGCTCTGAATGCTATAACTGTTCGATTTAAGTACTAACAGAATTGGCTGTAAATAATTTCAATAAGCTGCACAAATGGTAATCATGTTTCAGTATATCATGGATACTGTTTATCCTGTGATACAATCATGAAATATTTATTTCAGAATTATTAAGATGTTAGTTTAACTAGGAGTTTCTTATACTTCTTAAATAAGGTAAGAGAAAAGCAAATTAAAAATGCACATATAATAAAATGTATACATCTTTCAAAGGTTATTATACTTTGCAGAGCCATTACATTTTTGTACTACATTAGCAGGGCTGCTAAAATTTAAACTGATGAAAGCAAAAAAGGCACTGCTCAGTAGAAAAGACTCTATTAAACCCATTTCTGAAGGATACTTTACCCTTTTGCTAAAAATGTCATAAATTTCACAAATTACAAATGGACAACCCTAGTCAAATGCCTTAATTGAATTATTAAAAACAGTATGTCATATTCTATTGTGAATTCTTTAACAGTTAAACAGCTATAAGCCTCAACACTGCTTACTGTGCAAAACCACAGGTATATGCACATAAATATATTAAAAGTACTATAAATTTCTATAAAACTAACAACAAATATTAGTATACACTAAGACTTCAAAAATACTGTCTCATCTCATGATCGTATTGGCATCCGCTGAATTGGGGATTTTAAGAATTTTTTGTTGTTTTAAGTTCTATGACAACAGATTTTCTTTCTGATGATGAAGAGCAAATTCTTTACAAATGTTAAAAAAATTTTAATCTCCCCGATAAATACTATTTATGTTTTAACTAGAGGCTCAGTGCACGAAAATTTGTGCACTTGGGGGGTTGGGGGGGTTCCCTCAGCCCGGCCTGCACCCTCTCGCAGTCTCGGACCCCTTGGGGGATTGTCCACCTACTGGCTTAGGCTCTGCTCCCCGGGGGATCGGGCCTGAGCCATCAGTTGGACATCCTTAGTGCTGCTGAGGAGGCGGGAGAGGCTCCCGCCATCGCCGCTGAACTTGCAGCCATCAGCCTGGCTTGGGACTGAGTGGAGCTCCCCCTGTGGGAGCGCACTGACCACCAGGGGGCAGCTCCTGAGTTGAGCGTCTGCCCCCTGGTGGTCAGTGTGCGTAATAGCAACTGATCGTTCTGCTGTTAGGGTCAATTTGCATATTACCCTTTTATTAGATAGGATAGTTATGTTATGTGTTTTATCTTGCATTTATAACAGATAGCTTCTACGGCTAATTTCATCTTTCTTGAAGTGATATCTACTAGAAAATAATCTTAATTTTTCTTCCTTGTTAGCTATTCCAAGTAAGAGTAGTAATATCACAAACTGCATAATCTATAGTTAGAAATTTATCCTAGGGTAGAAGCTATAGTTTTCCTTATCTGTCCATGTCCTTGTTTCCCAAACTTCCTGACACTGTAAAAGGGACTTTTAAGGAACAATGAAAAAAACAATAGCTATTTTCTGAACAATCACAAGAAGACTGTTTACTTGCATGCAGGTCACAAATTGGCCTAAATAATTCAAATAGAAAGTCATCATTCAAGTTTACCATAGAGCAAAGTTACTTTTTTAAAGATTTAAACAATTCATATTATTATAATTAATACACTAAAATACCAACATAACTAATTATAAAACATACAATTGCTGTAGCTCACTAATTATAATCGCAAACCTAACCTAGTAGTGAAAAAGAAAACAAATACAAGTAGACTTTAAGAATATAAATACCTACTGGTACATCTTTCTTTTCTTTCCTTGAAAGGTTTGTTCCTCTATGTTCATTCTGTTGTTGATATAATGATCCATCTCGTTCACCATTTAACTGGAAGGAGCCCACTCCATTTCCTTCAATAAGATGTTTAAATATATTAAAAAAAGGACTAACTTTCACTCAGAAAATGTAGGAAAGAAAAACATCTCTGTGACAGTTTCAGCCTTCATTTGGGATCACCCAATTAGAATATTTAGCACTGAATTAAGAAGTCTTACATATGAGCTTTTCTACTTATATCTTTATTTCTTTCATATAGGCAAATAAATTTATTTATTTATTTATTTATTTATTTATTTACATACTTACTTATTTTTTAATCCTCACCCAACTTACTTATTTTTTTAATCCTCACCCAAGGATATTTTTAAGTAGAAGAGAGAGGGAAAGACAGAGAGAAACATCAATGTGAGAGAAACACACTGATTGGTTGCCTCCTGCAGGAGACCCTACCAGGGCCTGGGCCAGGAAGGAGCCTGAAACCAAAGTATGTGCCCCTGACCTGAATCAAACCTGGAACCCTTGGTCCACAGGCTGATGCTCTATCCACTGAGCCAAACCGGCTAGGATCATATGGGCAAATTTAAATTCAGGTTGTATCATATATTAGTGCTAAGAAGACAAAAAAGAAACACTTTCAGGAAAGGAGCAATTTAGAGTATGTTATCAAAGAAACTTTCATTGCTCTTTTTTTTAACAACTTCTTTTGCATAATACGCAAGAAACTTTACAGTATTAACACAGCATCCTCTATTATTAAATTATTTTTTTAAATGATTAAATGAAATAAAACAAAGGAGTTAGCCAAAATATCCTCTTTTACTAAAACAGAAGTACCCTATAATCAATACACATTTTCCTTGTTTGTTCAGAGTTTAAATTTCTTTTGTTGCCCAACTACAGATAAATGATGAAATGGACATAAACAATTCTCCAAAAGAGGAAAGGCTAGATATGAAATAAAAAACAAGGGGCAAGCCCTGGCTGGTTTGGTTCAGTGGATAGAGCGTCGGCCTGCAGACTGAAAGGTCCCAGGTTCGATTCTGGTCAAGGGCATGTACCTCGGTTGCGGGCATATCTCCAGTGGGGGGTGTGCAGGAGGCAGCTGATCGATATTTCTCTCTCGTCAATGTTTCTAACTCTCTATCCCTCTCCCCTCCTCTCTGTTAAAAAAATCAATAAAATATATTTGACAAAAAAAACAACAACAACAAAAAAACAAGAGGCAAAATATCCCAAACTAGGCCACAGGTCATCCTGTCATAAAAACACTTTAAACCATGAAGCAAAAGGCAGAAAACATCTCTAGAGCTATAGCCTTCCTTCTTCCCTCCTCAAAGGAATTTCAAATAATCTCTTAAAAGATTCCCTCCATTTTTTTTCATAATGTATGAAAACCTATTTCACCCTCCCTTCCCTCATTACCTAAAGCAACAGGCTTTTGTGGAGGCAATCTGGGAGGTGGCGGTCTAGGTGGGACTTGGGATGGTTTAGCTGGGCTCTCTGACATGGGACATCTCTTGATTGTTCCTTGATTATCATCCTCAGTAGAATGAGTTTCCTGGGGTATGAATATGGACTTAGGCTGAAATAATACAGAAAAGGACACCAATGATTAAACATGAAATTATTCACGTTTCATTAAACATAACAAATACTAAAGTAAATATTATTATATATCAGAGGCTTTTAAACTGTGTATACTAGCAGAGTTTCAAGGTTATTCAACTATCTGATTCAGATGATCTCAAAACATATTTTAAAATTATACACTAAAATGCTTTCTCAGGAAAAAAAAAAGAGACCTCTTTCTATTAATTCCTTACAAGCCTTCCCACTTAGACTTGCCAAATAAAAATATTCTGGTCTTTCTTATCTCCAATTTAAATGAGTCTCTTTTTATTTTAAACATTTAGGCTATTCAGCTCCTTACAAGACTAATCTAAACTGTCTCTTTTAAATGACTCAATGTCTTTTATGTTAATGCTTAATCTTTCAGACTGGGGGTAGAAGGAGATATCAATTAAAATTTTATCGTCATGGAGAATACTAATAAAAGATGTCTGAGAAACTTTCTGTTCAGACAATTATGAAACCTCCACCAGCAGGAGGTTTGGAGAATTTATAAATTCTTATAAATATGTCCCTTATTAGGAATATTACTTAACACTTATCTCTTTGAGATTCAGATCTTTATACTTAAGCTAATATAATACTAAACTAGCAAGTGCAGTATTATCTATCTGTGTGAATCATGATTTTCTCAAAAGTAAGAAATGAAAACAAAATGTAGTAATATATTGGATGCCAAGACTGATCAGACTCTAATTCTCATTTATAACCCATGATTTCAAACCTTATAAAACCAACAGCTCACTTTATAAACAGTTCATTCTGTAATTAAAATTTGCTATGCATAAGCTTATAAAATAAATTTATATTAAATCCTTTTATCTTAAAAAAAACCCCTCATCTGTTGGAATAATCTATTATTTTTGTGATGCTTTTGTTTGGCAAAAGGATTTCATTGATAAAAAAATTGAAAATTAATGACCTATTTTTAATTTAAAAGTACCTTCTGAAAATTAAATATCTGTGATAAAACACTATTCTTAACTCATTCTCAGGGCATCAGTTACTAGATTGTAGATTTTGAGGAACAAAATCTTATTTAAAAATATAAGTTGCCCGACAGGCATAGCTCAGTGGTTGAGTGTTGTCCTATGAACCAGGAGGTCAAGGTTCGATTCTCAGTCAGGGCACAATCCCTGGTTGTGGGCTCAATCCCCAGTAGGGAGTGTGCAGAAGGCAGATAATCAATCTCTCTCATCACTGATGTGTCTATCTCTCTTTCTCCCTCTCTAAAATAAAAAAATATATACATATTTTAGGGAAAAAAAGTAAGTTTCCTAAACTAAGGGAAATACTACTAATTCATTAATATAGTTTTTTTCATGTACAAATTTCTAGAACTTATTTAGAATAAACAATAAGTGGCAAGTTGGATAATTAAAAAGGAGAAACAATAATAACACAATTATTGACTTATATCATGATTAGTTAGTAACTTCTTCATGATGTTTCTTTGTGGGTCCCAAGTGAAAATAAGCTACAGAGTAAATATTAATACAGTATCAAATAATCACACACATACACAAACAAATTCAAATTGAAAAATAAATCTGTCTACCTTTGGTGGCAAAGGAGGTGGAACTTTTGCTTTCATGGTTGAACTATAAAAATATAAAAGTTTAGAATTAGAACTCTATTTTATAAGAAAAATCATTACTAAACTATAATTAATTTTTCAAAGTTATGAAAGAAAAAATTGTATCACAAGTTACTTTTTTCTAAGACTGGGCATTTTCTAAAATATTTTGTTAAATATTCAAATTATCCTGAATGGAGTATCTTTCAGAGGTAACTGAGTAGATAAGCTTTCTTGATTTCAAATTCTATCCAGTAATTAAAAGTGGGAAAGATAACTACAATTACAGTTTATATCAATTGAAAGGTAATTAATGTAAAACAAGTAATTGGTTTACAGGAAAACAGCAAAATGATATACTATAAAATTATCATAATGTAATATATATTTTTACTACTGTTAGATATGAAATATCTCTGATGAACTTCATCAAAATATACATGCTTTATGAAATTATAGACAGAATTGATTTGACTGAAGCTTAGATTAATTATAACTCAGGCCTGTAGTTTCTAAAACGTTTACAGAACTTAGAAGATGATAGAGCATAAATTCTCTCATGAGAAAAATGAGGCCCAGAGAGGTTAAGGGACCTGATCCAAGGTCACATAGTAGTGAAGTAGAAAGGAAAACCTACGCCTCCAAGGACTCAAGTGCGTTTGTCATTGATGTTTCTATCTGTCTCTCCCTTTCCCTTCCTCTCTGAAATCAATACATATATATATACTAGAGGCCCAGTGTACAAATTCGTGCACCAGTGGGGTCCCTTGGCCTGGCCTGCGGGATTCGGCTGAAACTGGCTCTCCAACATCCTGAGGGGTCCTGTATTGCGAGAGGGCGCAGGCCAGGCCGAGGCACCCCACCGATGCACGATCAGGGATGGGGAGAGATGCGGGAGGTTGGCCAGCTGGAGAGGGACTGCGGGAGGGCTCCAGGGCATGTCTGGCCCATCTCGTTCAGTCCCAATTGGCCTGACCCCAGCAGCAAGTTAACCTACCGGTTGGAGCGTCTGCCCCCTGGTGGTCAGTGCATGTTATAGCAAGCGGTTGCACGGCCTTAGCAGCATATCATTATATTATGCTTTGATTGGTTGACCGGATGACCAGATGACTGGACACTTAGCATATTAGGCTTTTATTATATAGGATTTTTTAAAAAAGTGAGCCTGGTTAGAAGTCAAAAAAAAGAAAAGAGGAGAGCTTGTGAGAAAGCTCCCATCTTCTTACAGAATCTGTAATAATAAAAGTATAATATGCAAATCGACCGAACAGCAGAATGACTGTCTGGACAACCACACTATGACAGACACTGGCGCCAGGCCAGCCAAGGCAGGTGCGATGAGATTGGTTGGGGGCCTGCCATTGCCCCATGATCGCCCTGCAGAGGGAGGCCCAGGTCACCGAACGGTGGGGTGATCAATCAATCAGGGGGCTCCACGATCGCCCCAAAGAGGGAGGCCCAGGCCGCTGACCGGTGGGCTGTGGCGGGTGGGCAGGGCTTCCCTCTGCGGGGGTGATCCATCACAGAGCCCCGGCTGGGTGGGCGGGGCCTACTCCTTTGGGGCGATTGATCGCGGAGCTCCTGAATTGTGAGAGACCCCCCACAGGCAGGCTGAGGGACCCCCCACAGAGTGCACGATTTTCATGCACTGGGCCTCTAGTACATAAATAATCATCAACAGAATGCAGTTAAAGGCCACTGTGGTTGGGTCTTTAACGGAAATGTTACTGGAAACTGGAGGAAAGGTGACCTTTATTATAAAGAGTTAGGGAAAATTTGGCTGAATTATGTCCTGGTGTTTTGTGGAAGGTAAAAATTCAAAGTACTGAAATTGGATATTTAGCTGAGATTTTTAAGCAAAGTGCTGAAGGAGTGGCTTGCTTATAATGAAATGAAAGAGATGAACTAAAGAAAAAAAATGCCAAGGAAAGAGAAACTAGAACTTGAAATTTGATAAATTCTCAGCCTATCCATATTAGCTCAGAAATGGATGGCATGAGAAAGCATGTTCTGAAGAGATCACCAAGAGTGTGGCTGGACTGTCACTCAATACGGATTTTATCAGCACAAACACTGGCAGCTTGAACGGAAGGGGATGGAGATGAGACAAAAACAAAGGAAGGCTGCGAACTCCTTGGATTTTATAGAACAGGATGGACAGAGGTTTCCGAACGTGCACTACTCTTCAAGAAGAGCGAAAAAATAATTCTGAAGGTGATCCATAGATCATTAGATCTAATTTGAATTGATTTATTACGACTTTAGAGTTGATGCTGGAAAGAGCTAAGCCTTTTAGAATGACTGTATTTTGCATGTGTTAAGGGCATAAACTTTGGGGGACGAGGGGCACAATAATATGGACTGAATTGTGTCCCCTCAAAATTGTATGTTGAGGTCCTGAAGTTGATGTGATCATATCTGGAGATAGTGCTTTTGGCAGGTAATGAAAGTTAACTGAGATCTTACGAGTCAATTCCTAATCGAACAGGATTAGTGGCTTTATAAGAAGAGGGAGAGAGTTCTCTCTCTGCATGTACACACTGAGGAAAGCCCGTCTGAGGACATGGTGAGAAGGCAGCTGTCTGCAAGCCTGGAAGAGAGCTCTCACCAGGAATTAAACTGGTCAGCACCTTGAGCTTAAACTTCACAGACTCCAGAACTGTGAGAAATAAATTTTGTTTAAACCACCAATCTATGGTATTTTATTAAGGATGATGGAGCAGACTAATACAACTAAAACAGAAAAGGGAAAGAAACTGTGCTAGAACCCATAATACTACATTACCAATGACATTAAAATTGCTGTCAATATTAGGCTGTTAGACTTATGAAATCAGAGCACATGATACTTTCTTTTACTAAAAATCAAAACAGAACGTACTGTTTAGATTCATCATCATCCCCTTCATCATCTTCTAAATGTGCCACATGCCCTCTAAAGATAAAGAAGGATAGTTCCATTGTTACTAAGTGAACTTGACCAAAATAGCTTAAGAAGAAATTTTAGAAAACTGCAAGACAGAATTTTACTTCTACATCTTTACAGAATCAAAACACCAGTAACAACAAAATGATCTTAAGGCCACATGTCAGAGAAGGGAACAAACAGACGACTCATCTGTGACAAAGTATTTTAAGCTTAATTAAAAAGTAAAATTACCACCCTGGCTGGTGTGCTAAGTGGTTAGAGTGCTGGCCTGTGCAGCAGAGGGTCTCAGGGTTCAATTCCCGGTCAAGAGCATGTACCTGGGTTGCAGGTTCCATCCCCACCCACAGTCAGAGTGCATGTGGGAGGCAACCAATCAACGTGTCTCTCACATCCATGTTTCTCTCTCTCTCCTTCCCCCTCCCTTCTACTCTCTCTAAAAAAAAAAAATCAATGGAAAAATATCCTCATTCCTCAGGTAAGGATTAAAAAAACAAAACAAAAAGTAAAATTACCGCTGATGTAATTCTTCCTCAACAGACTTCAGAAGACTCCTTAAAAGAAAAAAAATAGTAATGTGAATTAAGCAAGCAGTAAGTATATATCTTCATCATTTTAACCTTATCCACAAAAATTGTTTACTTTTTTAAGATTTACTAGAAATATGCTACAATGATCATCTCTATACCATAAAACATCAAGTTAATTTAATGAGCTACCTCTATTTTCTGTTGCTAATGTCTTTATATATGTATCTTAAATAAACAAAATAAACCCTAATGTTTACTGAAAAATACCAATTCAAACAGAGGACAACCCACCACAAAATGTCACAATAGGACTGACAAAACAATAATTGCAGGGTCATAGTCAGGAGCTTCCAGGATTCAAATTTACCCGGAATATTTACGTGACACCTGAAATTACATTTTCTTTTTCTTAAAATAAGGAAGGTGACACACTTTAAAAAAAACATCATGCTCTCAGGCAATCCTACAAAATGAAACTCCACATGTTGGCTCTCTCTGCAGAAGCATGCATGCATGTGATGTGAATACATGAATGTAGTAGCACTCTGTTTCCACAGAACACACTCACTTACCTGAATATCTGCTCTCCAGTGGTGGACTGGCAAACACATTTACACTTTTGGGAGACTAAGCCTGTATCAGGCCAGGTTCGAGGGTTTTATCATTGGAAGCAATTTATAAAACCTGCTATTCAGGAAGGTAAGAGAGAACTAATGGCATTTCTGAAGTCCCTTTACTTCTTTCCACTGCAAGCTCATGCAGCGTATCTCCTGTATTATACTCTTCAAGCATAAAATATCAATAGTCTCCTTAAAACTAATGGAACAGAGAGAAATATGGTGACTAAGGCAAAAGTATTCAGCAGAAAATTTACTCTCTCAAAAGTTAGAAGGTAGTACCTTCTAATCATTTTTCCTTCTTATATATATTGGGGAAAAACTGCCATTAGGATTATCAAAATGTAAAACCAGAGAAACTGAAAGCTGGTATAAGCAATTAATTGAATATATTTTAGCCACCACATTTTAATTAGGCCAGCTGAATGATCTAAATTTGAAAATGACGAAGTTCTAAATCTGGATGCTACTTTGCAGATTAAAAAAGTGAGGTTCTTCAGTCAATGTATTACCTTAATCACAAAGCTCCTGCTGGCCCACCACCAGGAAGGCAGGAGCATCTCTGTCTAAAGGCAGCTTAGCAAAACGGTGCCGGGTTGTGAAGCAAAGACAGCCTGAGTCTGACTCCTGCCTCGGCCACTGGAAGCTGCATGGCCTGCAATAAGTCACTTTGATTTCCCTATGCTTCAGTTTCCACATCAGTAAAATGGGAATTATAATATACATGATGTCAAATGTTTATATATCTGAAGATATATGCATTAATATAGGTAAAATGCTTAGAAGAGTAATTTAGAACATAGTAAGTATTCAATTAGTGTTTTCTTTATTATTATCGACTAAACAACATTTCTTTAAACCCACAATTCTCAAAATGTTATCTATAACATGTAACGAGTATATTACAATTAGAATAAATATTTTGAAAAGTTCTGTGTACATTTCTAATAACATAAATATTGACAGTTATAACCTCTATTAACAAAAACTCATTGGAATCCCCAATAGTATTTTAAGTCTGTAAAAGGATTCTGAGACTAAAATTTTAAGAAGTGCTGCTTTAAACTATTTTACTGAATTAAACATAATATTTTTGAACTATACAGTGGGCTTTCATATCCTTTCAGAAGATGTGAAAAGAAAAACATTTTCTTGAGCATATGACAATATTTTTTGAAGCATTTTTTTTTCCAGTAGGGAATATCAAGATTTGAGAATAACTAAGAGGAGAATTTAAATGTAGTTTATTTTTAGTTACCCTGTGTAATTGAACTTATATGGCATTCCACTTTTCTAGGTTCTCTAAGAATAAGAGAAAAAAGCTGAATAAGAAAACATGAAAAAGCAGCTAATCTATGGCTTACGGACCCATATATATTTTTTATTCATTTACTTATAAATCTCCTACTATGTGTTAAGACTTTTTTGTTAATAAAGTTAAAGATTTCATTAAGTATTAATGAAAAGTAGAATACATTTGCTTTTCAGGCATTATGAAGAATATAAAACATGGCTAAATTTGCTAAGATGTTACTTTACAGTAAATACTATATCTGGAGAGCACTGGAGAAAAATGTGATGCTGATTTAATCATCAAGACTGGGTACAATACAATAAACAATGTCACTATTCACTAGTTCACTTCATTATTCTATTATGGAATTTTTAGAAAGTAATGAACAAAACAAAAATGATGCCCTCAGATACTGAACTACTAAATCAACCCAAAATGATTTAAAAATTTGAATAGGATTAAAAACGGAACTGTATGCAAATATAGTTTTAACCGATCATGTGAAGAAAATAATCTGGAAGTAAAAAAACCCCACAAAACTGCCAAAAATACTTAGCATATTTGAATTAACTAAGGAATTCATGCTGCTGACTACTCAAGTCTTTCAAAATTGTCTAACTGGTTCAAAACAATCTATAAAGTACTGCCTTGATTATATTTGAAAACAAAACCACTCCCTGTTTCTCTAAAACCAAAAGAGCAGTTTTCTTTACTTATATTCATTTGATCTTACAATCAACAATTACTGAGTAAATACTACAAATAAGAGCAACTAGTAAGTACTTACTAAACCATAAATATGCCAAATGTTTTACAATGACTATTCCATTTCACCCCAAAAGAAGGTACTATTGTAATCCCCATTTTACTAGAGAAGTCTCATGGCTTACAGAAAGAGACAATTCTGGTCTTTACTACTACTACATTCGATTGTACCAGGAATTGTGTAATTCAATTTACTCTTTTCACTACTATTTAGGTCTTTTTTAAAAGAGAATTTATCTTTAGAATTTTTGCGCTACATTAAAAAATTAAAAATAACTTAAAACTTTCTTTAAAAATATTTTGTTGGTTTTAAATGGTCAGAAAAGTTGACCTCAATAATAATATAATTCAAAAGAAAAGAAAACCACTCAATAAGTCAAAATATATAGGCATTTATTTAAAAATAGCAACTATCTTATATAGTTGCCGCATGGTCTGTAATAGGTAGAAACCCAGAAATGAAAATCTGTTTGCCTTATCACCTATGGAGAAAGCAGGAAACCCTGTGAGTTTTAACACACTGCCTAGTCACAAGGATAAAGCAGACATATCAGTACAGTAAGAGAAGTGCTACATCCATGCTCATGTCACATGTATGTATATGTACCTGTACACGAAACACAGCCAAAGGTCAAACTTTTGGCCAACCTACCTTGCCAGTAATTCGTTATAAAGAATACAGTTCCTTAAGCAGGGATCCAATTAATCAAAAAAATGAAGGTTGGGCAAATTATTAATATTTTACCTAGCCAAAGTAACCATATACTAAGAAAATGTCTAACAGATAAAAATCAGAAAATGGAAACTAAGGAATCTGAAAAATCATTTAGAGATGGACCATATATATAATATTTTTCTGGTTATTTTTGCAAGTATGTCATTTAAAAATATATTTTAAATGAGTCCAAGAAAGGTAAATGAAATATCTTTCCAAATTATCCAGTCTCTTAAAATATATCAAAATTTACTAACAAGGGCCTTAAACCAGTGACCTCAAATTTAGACAAAATAACAAAAAATACATAAAATTTTCATTTGCTAACTCACTATGAGACAAACTTTCCTTTGTTGTCCATCAACAAATCAGGACAAACTATAAATAGCGACTAGTTATTATTTAGATAGAATTTCATTTTTCTACCAGGAGAATTTCACACTTATTTTCCATTTTAGGAAATATAAATAATGTTACTACTAATAATTTAATAAAAAACACCTCACAGTACTTAAATGAAGTTGTTTAAATAAAAACTAAGGCATTTCTCTAGGTTGTCATTCAACGCCTTTTTTCTGTGTTGAAAAACATATTTAAATGATTCATTTATTTAAAGAAAGAGACATGATTTTTGCACTGTAATCACTAAATCTGAGCTACTTGTCTTTAGTCACCCTTTGTCAACTGTTTAACTTAAAATATGGGTGTGTGTGTATGTCTCAACTCTCTAAAGCAACTGAAATATTTTGAAATTTTAATTTGATTATTAAAATATCTACATTGCTGGGAGGTTTTGGCAACTTAAATAATATTTCCTTATAATATTAGCTTTTGGGGGGCGGGGGAATCAAACCATTTTATTGAGGGCCTTTGGGGGAGGGTTGAAGGAATGAGAGGACAATAAGAAAATCTACGGGGAATAGCAGAGTCTGGTCTCCATACCTTGCTTAACTCGGGCTTATGAACAACTGAAATTGTTACACCTTAGTGCGTGGTGTAGAGTAGGCCTTGAATAATTTGGGTTTATTTCTTGCATAAATACCTTTCAAAACTTTAGACACATTTTAATTACTGTTCACTTTTTAAAAGACTCTTACCAGCTAAAATATTAAGATTTCTAAACAGTGTGAATATTTCCAGCTGTTTTCAGAGGCCAACACATCTAAGAGACATACCAAAGCAAGTTTTATAAGGAACAGACAAGTCTTTACAAATAAAAAAATAAATTTCTCAAACATATATTTATCCTCATTTGGAATATACTTAGTTTTCTCTAGAGATCTACAAAGTAGTTTGATGTAAAAAATTTAAGGTGATTGTCTCCATTATAACAATTATTGATTAAATGATTAGCAAAATAGCAGTAAAACAAAGTTAAAAGTATTTTATGAAATATATCTACCAACTATTTCACTACTCTAATTATTTAGTATTGTAATTATTAAAATATAATATTTTAAGGCAACTTAATTATTCCTGATTTAAATTTAATTTTAAAAGAACTTTACTTACTTGTTTGCACCTAAAAAGTAACTACCTTGGTGTCCTTGTCCATATTCTAGTTGTAGATCCTAATAGTATAAAACAAAATATTTAGTAAAACAGTAGTATCTTACAAACCACGATACATAATATACATTAGTTTTAAAAGAGAAACCCCAAACTTCAAATAAATCTGTATTGCTGTATGTTCTTAAAAAGAAGGCATGGTAGGACTTGCAACAATAAAAGGTAAGTTCAATATTTTTCTGGGAACTCATTTAAATAATATATGCAAGTTTCATTTAAGGATATTGCTATTGTAATTAACATTTGTAAAGTCAGCTTTTAGAAAGAAAAAGTTCAAATAAAGTCTTTATTCTTAAGCTCTAATGAAGCAAAAATGATTACAGAAGGGAACAAGCAACAAAAATCTTGGTCTGTAAGAGCTGCAATAATTATGTCTATTCACACATTGCTACTACTGCTTTATACAGGTAATAATTTTTTAAAGAAATAAAATAGGGTATTCTTTTAAAGTAAAATATATATATGGATTTGCAAAAGGTTACAAATTGTATGTTAGGACTTTTAACATATTTTAAAGAGTTAAGTGTAAGTAGCAAAACTTCAATATCATTAAGGCAGTTCATCAGCTATTTAAACATTCTCACTAAATGCTGCATGTTGTAGAATTCAGAACTGAAATTTAAAGGTACAAACAATATAAATGTGCTCAACTCAAACACCTTGAGACAAAAAAAAATGCTTTCCAACAATAACGGAAAGCAGAGTCTCCTTTTCTCCCCTCCTTCTTAAAGCCTATGTATCTCAAGCACTATTTTAATAATAAAGGGGGAATATTTAACATTTCAAGTGAATTTTATTTTTACTAGAATATAACATACTTAGAGTGCTGTAAGCAGCCTTCCAAGCCTGTCAAGTAAGATAGCTGCAACCTTCTCCAAGTCTCCAATGCACTTAATACATAGTTCTTCTCCAGCAATTACTCTGCATTTTAATTAATTTATTTACAAGTCTATTAAAATAGTTGCCAGGCTGTGAGCTCCTCAAACAAAGGGAAATTGTTAAATCCATCTTTCTTCCCTACAGCCCAAGGTCTAGCATAACAACTGGCACATATTAACGAGGCCCTAAGTAAATGCTTGTTCAGATGCTATTTGTTTATTTTCCTATAAATACATAACTAACACTTCAGCCTCATCTATAATAATAAAAGTGTAATACGCTAATTAGACTGGAGTCCTGGACGAAGTCAGGGCTGCAAGGGCCGTGCCCCTTGCACAAATTCGTGCATCGGGCCTCTAGTTAATATTACTTGAAAATAATTCTAGGTCCCAATACTGCTAAGCCTAGAATCCTGAGAGGATTCTAAGCAATACATTACATTTAAATGAAAAGTACTTTAACATTTAAGTATTACAAGGCCTGTCAAAAAAATATCTGATGAAAATAAATATCTAATTTTGTCTTCAATATTTGTGTTCTTCCATGCATAATAATAAATATTCTTACTAGTGAGAGAAAAGATAATATATCATAAACAAAAAAGATTAGTCAACTGTCACACTGGTATTACATGAAATTCTAATGAAAAGGGATACCTATTCTCTAATTAATAATGATAGAGCTTAATAGAATAAAACCACTGTTATTATGAGACAGTCACACATTATTATGCTGAACAATTTAATTGGTCATGACTTTATACGGAACTTTTAAACGTTGATATTCAGTAAAGAGAAGTACTATCTCAATGAATTTACTTTCCAATTCAAGTTTGTTTTCTTCAGCTGTAGATAACTGGGCCCTCTACAGACCAGCAATATCTTTAGCCAATAATCTCTTAAACCTTTAATCAAATGACAGCCTCCCAAAGCATATACTTCTGTTCCTTAAATGCAGACGTGACAACTACCAGGTTGATGATAATGATTGGGGAAAAAATAAATTGAGACCATCAGTGTACTTAAGAAGGTAAGAGAAGAGTCTAAAAACAGCTAACACCCCTGCAGACAGATCCAAGTCTGGTGATTCCCTGGGCCACGTGTGAAGCCCTCCCAGGAAGCTAAGATTGAAGGGGCTTGGTTCTTTATAAATTCCTTCTCTGTAAATCAAGTTCTGTTACGTTTTAGCAAACATGGAATATAAACAATGTACTGGCCATGTCATCAAGTAAGAAAATTACACTAAGTCCTTCTATTAATTATCTAATCCTCTTTAATTCAGCTATTATTTACCAAGCACCTATTATAAATAGCAAGAAGACAGATAGTAAATCAGACAAGAAAAATGAAAAGAAATAGAAAGGAAAGAAAAAAAACGTGAAACCTGGGCAAAGTTAGTAATTATTTATGTATCTTTAGGGCAGTCTAAGAAAAACTGATCTACAACCCTTTTTAAAAGGACTTGAAAGCTATTCTGTAACAGAAAATGCTACCAAAATTATTCTTGGAAAAGCACTCAAAATATACCCTAGATGAGTAAAACATGGGCTAAATAAGAATACATTTGAACATGCTAGGACAGACATAAAAATATTAGTTGCATAAATCAGGCATCAACTTATTAGTGAATGACAATACTTAACAACATAGTCAAGGTCAACAACATGGACTGAAAACATGCAATAGCTTCGTACAGATTCAACCCAACAAAAATTTAAGATGGTCTACCCAGCTCAATTAAAATATCTTTCTGAGCCACAAAGTCTTAATTTCCATGGTTCGTTTTAATGAATGGGGTTGTATTTCTAAACCTAGGATAAAGTCTCTAAGAAAATATGGTGCCAGAAAAAAATGAAAAAGAATAAAAGGATGCGACGTGAACACTGGAAAAAGAAAATATATGATCAAGAAGATATTATTGATTTTTTATTCCCCCCCCGAGATTACAGTCTATATACCTAACGAGAAAACAGCAGGAAGTTAATAGAATTGATACAGTTGGCTACAAAAACACAGAGAGAAAGTACTTCACCAATTTATTTTACCCAAGAAAAAAGAACACAGCAGAAGAGGAAAACTTTTTTATCATAAAAAATGAGAGAATTGTGGAACAAATAAAACCGTTAGATACCTTTTAATGTGGTAGATAATTTACAGGAGTAAAAAGGGATTGAATCCTGGATAATTAAAAAAGTTTTTATTTCTTAAAAAGTCAGAAAAGCAAGTGGAGTCATAATACTGATCAAGCAGTCAGTATTCTAATAAAAGCAGAAGACTTAAGGAAGCTCAAACTGAATAACATGACTTCTGTACAGCAAGCTTGGAAATGAATACGAGGTTAGGTTTGACATTCTAGAGAATGTGCTACCATTGAGCAATTATGAATGAGGTCTCCTTAGAAACTGTCTTCAACATTAGATAAGAAAAGTGACCACACAACATACATTTTATAATAAATAATAATTTAACAGATTTAAAAATAAGTTGGCATTTACTATTTCTTTTATAGAATATAACTTTATAGACTGTATTCAGTTTTGACCTAATTCAGTAATAATTTTAAAGTACTTTTATTATAATCATTGATAACAATCAATTGGTTATTATCTTCCTAACATGTTTTTAATTGTAACTTACATATTTTATTCTTATTCCCTCAGATAGACTGTAAGTTTCTTCAGAGTAATAATTATATAACTATTCATGTTCCTCCATAGCAATTAACATAGTGTTTCACCTACAATTAACTTTAGATGTATTTTTCATCATAATGGGCCAAAATATACAGTAAAAATCAGGCAAATTTTAAAAAATTAGCATCAGCTAAACAGATGTGTAATAATATCTTTTAATTTAAAGACAGATCAGATAAACACATCTGTATGGTTATGGGCAAAACTGTTACTATTTAATTATCACATTAAAATGAGGTTTTTATTTTTAACTTGGGCATCTTTTAAAATTTAAAGAACTTTTTTATTCACTAACAACCCTAAAAATTAAGCTCTATTCTTCTGGTTCCATGTATTATAATTGCATGAGTTAAAAAAATCATTTTATTGTAATAATGAAAATTGAGGTGTTACATTCAAAATTCATTTACAAAATTATAAAATAAATATACTTAGCACTTAAAACAACCAGAAAGCACTGATGACACCAAACTTTTAGGCAGCAGGCTTTTTATAAGGGAGTAAATGTTTTTTCTGGGCCCTAAAGAACAGGGCTGTAATCCTGGTAGCAACTGCCCACTAAGATGACAGCCAAACATTCTGGGTTCATGTGGTTTCTAGGCTCCAGCAACAAGTATTTGTAAGACATAAAATCTTGTTCGCAGTGCCAAAATTTTAGGACTGATGAAATTAGGGGACTGAAATAACTAAGGACAGGTCAAACCCATTAGGATGGCTATTATTTAAAAAACAAAACCAAAAACCCCCCTTTCCCCTGCCACAAAAGAAACAAGTGTTGATGGAAGCAGAGAAATTGGAACCCTTGTGCTCTGCTGGTGGGAACTGTAAAATGATGCGGCTGCTATGGAAAACTGTATGGCTGTTCCCCAAACATATTAAATGTAGAATTATCATGTGATCTAGCAAGTCCCTATCTTGTTATATACCTAGGAAAGCACAGATTTGACAGATATTTGTACACCCATGTTCAGAGCAGCATTATTCACAATAATCAAAAGGTGAAAGCAACTCATGGCCACTGATGGCTCAATGAGTAAAAAAAATGTGGTCTATATGTATAATGGAATATTATTCAGTATCAAAAGTGAAAGCAACTCATGCCCACTGATGGCTCAATGAATAAACAAAATGTGGTCTATATGTATAATGGAATATTATTCAGTCTTAAAAAAGGAAATTCTGACAAATGCTACAACATGGATGAATCTTGAAGATGTGATGACATTTTACTAAGTAAAGGGAGCCAGTTCCAAAGGGACAAATGTTACATGATTCCAATTATATAAGGTCACTGGAGTACAAAAAACCCCAGAGAGACAGAAAATAGAATGATGGTTGCCAGGGCCTTGGGGGAAGGGAGGATGAGAGTTATTATTTAATGGGTAAGGAGATGTAGTTTGGGAAGATGAAAATGTTTTGGAGACCAATAGTGGTCATGGTTGCAATACAGTACTTACATAGTGGTTTAGGTATGAATTACTGAGCCAGGCTGCTTAGGTCAAATCCCAGCTCTGCTATTATTTAGCTAAGTGGCAAGACCAATTTCAGCTTCTTTGCACCTTAAATTCTCTCATTTGTAAGACATATGTTAATGTATTTAAAGTGTTTAGAATAATGCCTGGTATATAAAAACTTCTTAGATAAGTGTTAGCTTTTATTATCATTAGAAGTGAGCTTTTTAAAGGTTGATTTTTATAAATGTCAGGATCTGACAAATATTTCATTCACTCTCCTACCACAAGTTATCTGTCCCTCATGCCCTCCTCTGTCACAAGATCCCATCAACTGTTCCCTCGCTCAAAAGAAATTCCTGATTATTTGGAGAGGGGCTAGTTCAGCACAGGTACAGAAAAGAATATTGTAACTCCAAGGTATTGTGTTTCTGGTGCTGTAATTGTCTTATCGGGAGAATATTAATCTAAACTTTGGGTTCTGTAATCTTTTATTTCCACAACAAATTTCTGTCATTCTAGCCTACTGATGCCCAATTCTAGAGAAATTTTCAATCCAGAAATCACTGATAGTGTTTTCTTCAGACATTCCTCCTCATTTGCGTCCTTGGACGGTTAATTCTCAGTCCTCACACTTTCTGGCCTCTCTGATGTATCTTTCTTTCTTTTGTGTCAGTGCATCTAAGTTAATTCTCAGTCCTCACACTTTCTGGCCTCTCTGGGCCATCTGATGTATCTTTCTTTCTTTTGTGTCAGTGCATCTACTGACTCTTCTTGCTTTTCAACTGCTTCTTCCCTACCTCCAATGTTGGTTCTACCTTTGAGTGCAAAACACAGACATCACCCATAGCAGTTTTTTACCCTTTTTCTTTAATGAGACCTCCCTGGGGAACACATGACATCTCATGGTTCCATCTATCATTTCCTCTTTCATTACTTCAGTCTCCCTCCTTTGAGCTAATCCCATAATTACAGCAGTAGTATGACCACTCCATAATTTCAGCTCTCTATCTGCCATCTCTCAAAACTGTGCCAATGACTCTCTCTACATTAATTCCCATGAAACACAGGAGGTATTTATATATCACTTTCTTCCTGAAGAACCTATAATGGCTCCTACAAAATACTGAAATCAATCTTAGTCCCTCCCAGAAGCCAAACAAACCACGTTAACCCAAAGGCTTTTCTTATTCTCTGATGTCTATTATACCAATGATATGTTAGCCTCTCTCTCCTCATCAACAGTCACCACAAGTCACCACCTGGCAAAGTTTTGGCAATCCACTACCTATTCTGTTGCGTAGCTAACAGTTTCTATGTACAAGTATTTTTTGTCCATCGAGACAGCAACTGCCCTAAGAGAAATTATTTCTTTTTTCTTTTTTCTAATCCTCACCCGAGGATATTTTCCCATTGATTTTTAGAGAAAGTGGAAGAGAGAGAGAAAGACAGAGGGAAATATCGATGTGAGAGAAACACATCGATTGGTTGCCTCCTACATGAGCCCCGACCAGGGCCTGGGCCAAGGAGGAGCCTGCAACCAAGGTATGTGCCCTTGACTGGGATTGAACCCGGGACTCTTTGGTCTGCAGGCCAACGCCCTAGCCACTAAGCCAAACTAGCTAGGGCTAGAAATTATTTCTAAAATCTCTTTTATGTTCTACAAATATTAGAAGGCACAAATTTAAGAATTTATGTTAAGAATCATTTAAATCAACCAGAATTGAAAGAGATGTTACTGAAGAAGAGAGGAAGAAAAGATAAGGAAAATTCAGAAAAGTGCAGAAAACTGAAATCTAGAAGTAAGTATAAAGGCAACCTGGCCAGCTACAGAAGTAGAAAAGAACTATTTACGTAATAGCAACTATTAAAAGTATTATTTATTTAATAGTCACCAGGGCTAATGTCCCATCTTTTCTTCCCTAATGGTAAGATAGTCTTAATATTTATAACTTCAAGGGGCTTTATAATCCAAATTTTGGTCTGAGAAAAATGGATATTACAATAATGCTACTGACTGAGCTATAATTTCATCTAAGACTGATTTCTTTGTTAATAAGGGGTAAATTACTTCTTAAAATGATATATATACATAATATATGCAATATATAAATAGTTTTACATATATAAATGAATATGTATGTGTGTGTATATATATATATGGATGGGTCCTAGTTCATTAAAACTGGACATTTTTATAGGGAACTATAATTAAAACTCATATTTGAGTCAGAAAATTAAATGTTTTTCATAAAAATGAAAAATATTTTTTATTGTAACATTATAATATATTTGAGTAGATATATTTATTTAACTTGTTATGGAAAAAATTGCTGTACTCCTTAATGTAGCAGGATCTTATAAAACAATGCTTTAACTGGTTCATTAAAATAGGACAAAATGTTTGAAAAAAATAAAACAAACAATTAAGACTAAAACAATGCTGACAAAGAAAATCAGAAGATGAGAAATACCAGATTAGATCTTGCAGTGTAGTATATTTCTTCTGAACTGTCCAAAAAACCATCACTGTCGGGCTGTTTAGCAGAGACCAAGAAACCCAAGTTATTTACACTTACACTAAAAGCCACAAATTCACAAAGGGAAACTCTTAACTGAAGTAAGTCCTGCTAACATAATTTTGTTAAGGCAAATGCAAAGTTAAATCATATTAAAAGGTTTCTAAAAAAGCAACGCTGCAACAAATTTACTCCATAATGCAGTTACTAAATTAGTGCAGAATTTAAATACATGCAATGCCCACTTAAAAAAAGAAAAAGCAAATAAACTGCCTTAACAAAATACAATTAGCATTAATAAACATCAGGACTACTTTTTCTTCTTAACCTTTTCCATCTTCTACATAAATGTCAGGCTTCAGTATTTAATATGATCATTTTAAGAATTTTTCTTTAACATTCCTTTCCTCCATGCTGGTATACTGAATTAAAATAACTCCAAAAGTTAAAGGTTAAATATTCTCTCTGTGTGCCTTTAGTCAAGTGGGTTAAATTAAATTTAAGAAGGAATTTCCCACTTCAACCCTTAGTACTTATTAACAGTTACTTTCTTCTCATTATTAAAAAGAAAGCAAAAAATAACACAATTTGGAGCTCTGGTAAAGTAATTAATTAGGATTAATTCTGTTTATTTTTTAAGTCTCATGTTTTTTTCTACCATAGAATAGTAACATCTCAAATACTTGCAAAGCATTTTGTTTCTAAGACTACATCTAATATATCATGTATCTGGAAAGGAGTATAAAACATTAATAAAAAGAATCATGAAAAGGAAGTTCATACAGTTAGCAAGCCTTAAATGAATGACAAACTTGATCTATTATGTATGCCTACTCTCTCCTGAGCTTTAGTACTCCAAACAGATATAACTTTACTCTGATGTTTAAAAAACTGGCTTACTCAAAAGACTGTCCAAAAATTTAGTGAGAAGATGGGCTTTTATTGATCAAACATTTTAGTTTAATACTACAGCATTTATCCTAATAAATACATACACAAAAGCTACTCAAAAACTGAAAAATGAAAATGAAAAAAATTAAAGAGCCAGCATTAAAAACACTGAATTAGAGACTGGTAAAACTAGTAAGTTTCTCCTGAATAATTTTGAAAATATTCAATCTCAGCAACACAGATTTATTTATTCTGAATTTCAGAATTACTTACCTTTTTATTTCCCCAAATGCTTTTAATAACTAGCTTTTTAAGTCAGTTCCAATATATCATAAAGACTAATTAAAACATTTACTTTTAGTGTTAACATTCCAAGACTACACTACTTACAAGTTCATGATGTGGTTCTGTCTCTTTCCTTAAGGGTGGATCAAATTTTACTTGGCCAACTAAAAAAGAAAAAGAGTAAAGCCATGATCTGTTTCTTGATTCTTAATGATACACTAATTTTAAAAGTTACTCCATGGCAAAACACATTTAATTTTACTATCTACCATACCTTAATCACAATCCAAAGATTTAAATAAAGAATATATAGCCAGAAAAAGTCCAAGAAAGTCTAAGCAGTTAAAGCTTAATCTGTTAATAGTAGGCCTTTTCCAAAAGGAGGGCAGTATCAGAAAAACTGGGGTATAGGTCTCTAGTTTCAAATAGCATATAGATGCCTCTGCAGTTAGGAGCTGAGAACTCACTGACATACATTAGTAAAAAATGATCCAGAAATAACTGTACTTTGCAAAAAAAAGGCCTGAAAATGTAATTTTTAAATAGAATCAGATAACAAGATAAAAAGTACTTTAAGTTAGATTTTCAATAGTACTCAATACCGGCCGGGCTGAGAATCCATTTTTAAAGGCTCTCAGGTTCTTCAGATATTAAGCCAGTTTGCAGATTTCTACCTCTTCTTGACACTCAAAGCGTGGCCCTTGCACTATCAGCATCTACATAACCTGGAAGGTTGTTAGAAGTAAAGAATCCCAGATCTGCTGAATCAGAAACTGCATTCTGACAAGCTCTCTAGGTGACTTATACACACATTAAAGTTTAAGAACACTGACTTGATTTATTCACTCCTGCCTATTCTAGGAACTTTATTCCTCTTCCCAAACAATAACAACACACTTCCAGCGCCGCCGCCAAAAATTCCTTAGAAACAAGGAGAATAAAATCCTTACTGCCTTAAAAAACTCTTACCTTTAAAAGGTTTAATAAAAAGAACTACTTGGAAGAAAATAAAGCAAAAGTATTATAACAAAACTACAACTTGAAATCTTATTTGTTAATGTTAAATTATGAACTGTGTATAGTACATACTCACAGTTGATTTCCGAGCGTGTTTTTTCTTCTCTCACGTTTCTACTTGTTGAATGAATTCTATGTGGCACAGCAACAAGAGGCTAGGAAACAACAAAATCAGTGACATGTGGCATTAGATAAGCAAATCACAATCTGGTCCACAAAATTAATCAAATAAAAACAAAACACTTCATTTTATGTAAAAATGGGAATGACATACAACCACTTTGTCAATATTAAAACAAAAAACAAAAAATGGCAACCACAAAATGGAACTCTTCGATCATCACTGGGATATGGTCTCAAGATTAGGAATATATTTTATCTACAGCAGGTTCCCAGTAAATGTTCTCTGAATTAAATATAAATAGATATTAAAAATTCAATATTTCAATAATTCAATAGCTATCCAAAAGCTGCAGCTAGCTTTCCCTGTTGCAGAGAAAAACTGTAATTAAAAAAATCTGCCTCAACTTCTATTTCAAAAAGGATGAGATAAATGAAATGAAATAATGCTAAAAGCGTTAATGATTTATGGTCCTATTACTTAGTAAACAATTTCCTCCCTTTATGTTTTTTCTTACACGGGCAGCCTTCTATCTTCTTTCCTTTTACTTTTAAAATCTTTCTATGTTATAGCCACTGTCAGAGGAATATTCTGGGGGATGGGTGGAGTGATGATGAGTTCTCCTGACTGTTAATTCACATCACTTCTTTTAAAGTCTGTCTGGTGGTCACTGAGCGAGTGACTGTTATTCAGTTCATGCACAAACAGCAAAGTGTGAACTGTGTTGCCTCCTTGTCTCCCAGTGATAATACACTTGTGACATTTTTACAAAAATTGGTAATTCAAAGCAGGAGTTAGCTAACAAAGATAAAAGTGCTGCAAAGAAATAAAAAGTGCTAATTTTGGGTAACGTTGGAAATGAAATTTGAATAAATGGAGTTATGAAAGAAAATAGTTGACTGTGAGAATGTTGACATGGCCACTGTTCGAGAAACTGCAGACATACATATAGCCAAAGGAATTTAGTAAACTAAATTCAGGTGAACTTATTGACATGCATGCATGAAGCAAGTAGTTGTGATAAGAAGAAGAAGATACTCCAGAAGAAGTGGCACCAGCTAAAACTTTATATTACAGAGATTGAGATAGTTCATGCATCGAAAATGCAAAGGGTAAAATGTTGGAAGCCCATCCAAACTTAGAAAGGAATATGACACTCACCAAGGCATAGAAAAGATACTTGCTCTGTGTCATAAAGTTACATGAAAAAGGCCAGCACTGTGCAATCTACTCAATAAGCAGATTACTTGATAATTAAACATCTGTCTATACATATCTGTTGTATATACTAGTTAGTAAAAACAGTTCCTACCTCAGGATCATCATCATCAAAATCATGGTAAGTGGAATGATCAGGATTGTTCACTTTATCCAATAGTTCAATTGCCAAAGACCGTGTCAAAGGTTGTGTGACAAACGGATGCTATAAAAATAAAATAATATAGTACAGAACACTTATTAGAAACTTGACTGAATGACATTTTATTTTTTGAAAACAAGACATAGTTTGGGGCAAAGGTAATACCTGTAATAACTTTTCAGCTGTTGGTCTTTTTTTTGGATTTTTGGTAAGTGCCATTTTCACAAAATGATGAAAACTATTTGACCTAAGAAATTTTAAAATGAGAGTTTTAAATTTCAATTATTTTTTCCTCATGACTATAAAAGTAAATAACACAAAGATACTCACCACTTCACTTTATCCTTTAGTTTAGGAGGCTGAAAATTGCTTTTTGTCATTAGAAATAATGCTCTGAAAAATCAACAACAAATCATTACACAGTATTTTAAGATTTCATATTAATATATAATGTAAATTCTATTACTCTTATTCACAAATAAGGTAAAGCAAGAATAAGCATATTATTTGTCCATGACATAATAAATAATACTGGAGTGGAGAACCCCTTAATTAAAACATAGGATTCTTCAACTATGATGCACTGACCTCATTGGGTGTAAGTCAAACATAGGAGGCTGGAGCTCAGCAAGTTCTATGGCGGTGATCCCCACTGCCCAGAGGTCACAGAGCTGATTGTACCCCCCTTTCCTCTCAACAGCTGCGACTTCTGGAGCCATCCTGAAGGAATATTCCAGAAAAGAAAACCTTTTGTTTATTGTATTTTCCTTCATATTCCCACCAGAGGCACATGGAACCATCACTAAGTTGAGATCTACATGCCTTGATATCTGAAAAATAAGTATGCAGTATTTAAAAGGCCCATTTCTCCTCAGATCTCATCATCTCGTAAGATCCTCCATCCCAAGCCCCTACTGATGATTTGTTACTTTGCTACACTACTTCCTATTAAGGTTTGTAAAACTTTACAACTACGACAGAACAACATATCCCAAATTTGTCCATACCCAAATCTCTCTTCCTCCCCACAGCAAAATCCCAGAGAAATAACATCTTGCAATATTCTATAATTTTTAGTTTTACCTCCTTACATCAATAAACTACAATCTGGCCTCTGACTGTTTTCACTTGACCAAAACTATTTACTGGGGCACCAAAAATCTTCATTTAGCACTTAACTCATATTTACTTAATTGTCATGTTTTTCAGTTTTATTATAATGATGGGTAAGTTATCAAAGTGTCTAGTTTAAAAAAGATATTTATCCATAGACAAGTTGTCCAAACTATTATTTTTTGTTTCTTTTAATTTTCTTATAGTCTGATTCTAATTATATCTGTATAAATTTATATTTGACTAATTTAAATAATTACATTCATTTTCAAATATTAAAAATTTCAAATTCTAAGCAACAGTTTTGAAAATAACTGAGATAGCTCAACTCTTTCATATCAAAATAGTGACTTAAATAAGTAGCCTTACACGTGCACGTTTGTCTTCCTGGTAAGATTTCAGGAAAGTTAAGTAAGTCAGTGAAGTTAGAAAAAAAAACAAAAACAAAAAAATCCCCCACTAACTTTCAAATACTTGGTCTTAAAATCTTGTTAATCTTAAGTAGCTCTATGAATATTCAAATTATCATCAGAAAAGTGAACATTGAAGTATGTCAGTTATTACTTTGTTGATGGCTACATTACAGCCTGCTGGTTCTTAGCCCCTAAGAATCCCAGAAAGGCTGACACATTAGGGTTATAAACTTATAAAAGTTGGGTTGAGGTTGGAAACATATGTATTAGAAAATGTGAAGTCTAAATAATGAAGTTAGTCTCCCAGATTCCTCCTTTCCGATTTCAGGGCTCAGCAGTTGCTCCTTCCCGTTCCAACTGGGTGAAGACCAAGAGAAATGGAAGAGAGGCTTCAGACTCAAAGGAAGCAGAAACAAAGAGCAGGGGTTGGGGGCAGCTGAAGTCTGTGTCTAGAGCAGTGGTGGGGAACGGCCAGCCCCGCGGGCAGTATAACACCCATGAAATCATTTGGTCTGGCCCTGCCAAGCCATTAGGGGTGAGTTAATTAAATGTCTGACCAAATAGACCAGGCTAATTTCGGATGGCCTGCAAATGATGTTACTGTATAAATATCCAAATGGCTCCTGGCACAAAAAGGTTCCCCAGAAAAATGTGCCCCCCCCCCGTTTCCTGCACTTGCTCAGTTCTCAGTAAACACCAGGCTTACATGGTGCCTTCATGCATACAGAGCTATGCACCAGTTTTTAGTGCCTTGCTCTTCAATGTGAATCAGAAGGTAAGGATTACGAGTCATCTGAGGAAGCCTCTATCATGAAAGGATGAAACTAAGAAGTTGGGAAAATCTTATAGAAAGTAGAATGAAGAATATTTTTTAAAGTAGTAGAAAATTTAAGAAAGTTAATGGATTAGTCTAAATGGCCCAACATATAACGAATGAGATCCAGAAAGAGAGAGCATGATAAAGGATAACAAAAAAATTGTCAAAGAAGTAATACAAGAATATTTCCCAGAACTGAAAGACATGAATCTCTTGATTAAAAAGTACAACAAATAATGTTGTACAACAACATTGTCTCTTGAAATGCCAAGTACAACAAATAAAAGTAAAAATGACAGAAAACCCAAAACATTCTGCGATACATCATCATGGAATATCAAACCAGTAGAAATGATTCTAGGGGGGATGGGTTACATTCAAAGACCATGCATCATCATGGCATCACACTTCCATAGCATCAGAGAAAAGAAGCCTCTAGAGCAGTGATGGCGAACCTATGACACGCGTGTCAGAGGTGACACGCGAACTCATTTTTTTGGTTGATTTTTCTTTGTTAAATGGCATTTCAATATATAAAATAAATATCAAAAATATAAGTCTTTGTTTTACTATGGTTGCAAATATCAAAAAATTTCTATATGTGACACGGCACCAGAGTTAAGTTAGGGTTTTTCAAAATGCTGACACGCCGAGCTCAAAAGGTTCGCCATCACTGCTCTAGTACAATATTTCAAAAATCTTAATCTAAAATTCTAAATTCACTCAAATTGTAAGTCAGGTGTGAAACCAGACATGCAGTCTCAAAAATTTTACTACTCAAATTTCTCGAGAATTTAGTAAAACATGTGTGAGAAAGTAATTAATGAAAGAGGAAGATTTGGATTCTAGGAAATGAATTTCCAAGCTGATGATGAAAAATTCCTAGGAGAAGCTATGCAAAAAGACCTAGAAAATGAGCAATTTAGATTGGAATAGGAGGGAAGAGGACTCCAAAAAAGATTATTATAAGAAAAAAGACAAATTAAAACAAAGCAAAAACAAACAAAAATCAGAACAAATAATTTGATAGGCTTTATGATGTGGAAAATTGTATAGAGGCATGTTACAGACTGCAAAATGTGAAAAGGTATAGAAGTCTCAGCCAGGGATTAAAAAAAAAAACCGAAGCAAATTAAAAATGAATAAATTATTCAATATAGAAAAAACATTTCAAGGTAGCACATGTAATAATATAACAATTGACTCAGCAAGTACACTGCAAGGATAAGGCTGGATGATGAATGAAGAGAGCTAAAATCTTCACCTATCATAACAGAGTCTATAAACAACACCAGATAATACTAGAGATGGCAAAATACACAACTAGGTAAGTTTTTATGAGCCCTTTAGGACTACCTAACTTCTAAAATATACATCCACTTGATAAAAAGAAAAATTAATACAAAAAATGGTATGTATCATCTCCTAAATCTGGAAATGAGTCACCCAGGTTAGTGCCATCCCACTGCTGATGGCTACGAGGGCATCAGGGGAGTCCTGGCACTTAAGCTGAATGGGGGGAAAAAAAGGAGACATATGTACTACTAGTTATAATACTTTAAACAAGAAAATAAAAAAAATTTTAAAAAAAGAACTCTGAGGTGCTGTTACTTCAAAGTAATGGTGTGAACAAGAAAGCTCTACACGTGTCTACCACCACTATATTCACAATGACTAAGAGCATATCTAGCACATAGTAAGTGGTCAAAACCATTTATTGAATAAATTAATAAAAAATTTTTATGAAATGCTTAAAGAATACTAGCAGACAAATATGGCTAGAAAGAGGGATCTTGTGAAGGCAACTGGAAGCATTTAAGATTAATGAGGCAGAGAGAGGTCACACTGTGGAACACTCTAAATGCCAAGAAATATGTATTTGATCTTGTGTGCAAGCAAGATATGTCAAAAAGTCTTGAGCAAAGTGGTACTGTGAATAATGTAATATTGGAAGACTAGTCAAAATATGGACTGGAAGTGGGGGTGAATAAAGACATATAAAAACATCTGTGAAAATACATGAAAGGTAGAAGCAAGGGTTGAGTTTTTCCAGGAGAATTGGAAAAAGTTCCCTCAAGACATTAATCGTTAGTCTTTTTCACCTTAATGAAATTAACATGGTAGAATATTCTTTGGCTATGTAATCCAGCCACAGGCATATATGCCTAAATTACTTAACTTGTTAATGAACTTCTTAATGTTTTCATCCTAAAGTTTTTTATTATTTTGTCTATTTTTTTAAATGCTGAATTTAATAATGAAAAAAAAAACACACCAAAAAGTTAATTATCAATTAAAATACAATTACCAATATGGTGTACCAATGAAAGACTTCCGTTTGGCAATTGTAGCTGTTATCTGTGCAGATACTCCAAAATCAGCTATTAAAAAAATGAGAAACATTTAGAAAACTGAAAGTAAGTAATATTTAAGGCAACATGAGAAGAATCTTTAATTATTATTTTCATTAAACTATCTTTAATTATTTCCATTAAACTAATTTTGCAGAAATAGGAGATATTCTCAAATACCACATTAAAAATTTTAACTTTAATGGACGAGCATTAAAATATTACAAAGTAGTCAGTGTATATCATAGCCAAGTAGATTCCCATATATCCCCACATGAATCAAATGACAACAGAAGTCAAGATAAAAAAATTGTGATGAGAGAGGGCCAAGACAATCTAAACAGGAAAATAGAAATTTACTAGTTTTGGAATAAATTTGCATGACAAAATTTTAATTTACTTACCCAATTTCACATGACCATTATCCGTTAACAGAATGTTAGCTCCCTTCAAAGTGAGAACATTTTAGTTAAAGTAGGAAACATTTTATCAGACAGTGCATATAATAACTGTATTTATTAAAATAATCACAAGTGGCAGCCTTAGACCTGGAAATACTTAACATGTAAAGTATGCCCAATTAAAATGTTAAATTATTATAGTCACAGAAAAATTTACTATCTACTTTTTAAGCAATTTGCTTGCTTACAAAATGTTCTGCCTTGCAAAAGCTGCTATTAACATAATATGAATGTAACTATGAAAGTGATATATTAGTTCTCATCTAAATGTTATTTTCTTACTGATCAAACACTGTCACCTTATCCTGCCATTTTCAACTCCTTGTATTATATTTTGGACTTAATTGCTATATCCTGTTAAAAAATAAAAACAAACCTCCAATCCATCAGTTGAACCAGTGCTGGTGTGTAAGACTGAACCTGCTGCTTAGTATGTGAGGCTGTCTATCCTTAATATGTCTGTCCGGAGTTTAGGACCATTCAGGATACAATTAGCCACTGGTCCACAGAATTAAAATGTCACCTATCTCCATGATTGTGAATAATAGAAAATATATATTGGTCTGTGCCTCCAGTTCCTGGCACAAAGCTCCTGAAACCCTTATAATGTCTTCAGTGATAAGAGCACTAGGACCATCTTCTGTTCCAATATTTGGTCTTTTGCCCCAGTTCTTGACACAGCACACCTGAAACTTTGCATAATTTCCTGGGTGACAGGCGTGCCCGGTTCTAACGAAGCAACTCTAGGTGAACTCCTGGACGGCTCCTGGGTGAGGGCTGGCCACTGGAAGACCAAGCCATGATTGCAAGCTTGGAATTTTCAGCCTCACCCCCACCCCCACCCCCTGAAGAAGGGAGCAGTGCTAAAAATGGAGTGACTGATCCCTCATGCCCATGTGAGGAAGCCTCCATAAAATCCCAGTAGTACAGAGTGTGGAGAGCTCCTGAGTTGGTGAACATGTGTAGGTGCTGAGATAGTGGTGTGCCCTGGAGAGCGAATGGGAGCTCTGCGCCTCTTCCCACAGACCCTGCCCTATGCATCCCCTCCATGTGGATATTCATCAGTATCCTTTTTTTGTTGCTAATCCTCACCCAAGGATATTTTGTCAATTGATTTTTTTAGAGAGAGTGGAAGGGAAGGGAGGGAAGAAAGGGGGGAGGGGAGAGAGAGAGAGAGAGAGAGAGAGAGAGAGAGAGAGAGAGAGAGAGAAACATCGATGTGAGACACATCAACTGGTTGCTTCCCGCATGTGCCCCAACTGGGGCTGGGGATCAAACCTGTAACCCAAGTACGTGCCCTTGACTGGGAACCGAACCCATGACCCTTTGGTGCATGGGCCAACACTTTAACTACTGAGCAACACTGGCCAGGGCTATCATATCCTTTAATAAACTGGTAAACAGTAATTATGTCTCTGAGTTCTGTGAGCTGCTTTAGCAAATTCACAGAACCCAAGGATGGGGTCTTTGGAATCTCCACTCCATCCACAGCTGGTTGGTCAGAAGCACAGATAACCTGAGCTTGGGACTAGCATCTGAAGTGTGTGTGTGTTGGGGAGGGGGGCTGCAAAGGGGCGAGGGGAAGTCTTGTGGGACTGAGCCCTTTAACCTGTGGGATCTAACCCAATCCGAACTGAGTCAGATTGTAGGGCATCCAGCTGGTGTCACAGAGAATTGCTTGTTGTGGGGAAAACCCTCCACGTTTGGTGACCAGAAGTGCCAGAAGTGAAGTGTTCTGCGTCAGTAGTAAAGAGACTCACAGGAAAGACACAGCAGGGAAGAACTGGGTTTTTCACTGTATGGGAAGAAAACAACCTGAGTTTCTTCCATTACAATGACTTAGTAGCATTTTAGCTACTTTGGCTTCTTGACTGAAGTTCAAAGATATGAACCACTTTATTTTCAATAAGCTCCAACTTCTGAAGGAGGTAGAAATACTGTCTCCAAAAGGCATTGCAGGCTTTTACTTATTTATTTTTGTCTTTTCTGCAACATTTAAATGAGCAAGCAAAAGTAAGCCGCCTCTTTAGTCCAGGGTGCCATCAATCATGTAATTATAACCTTATGGGGGAAAAATACCAGGAAACCCCTTCCCGCCCCAAACAGAGGTGGGAATAATAGAAGACTGCACATTAACCCACACTGTACATTCCAAAAGGGTGAATTTTAGGGTAGGTGAATTGTATCTCAATAAAGTTGCTATAAAAAAGTAATAAAACCTTTAAAAGCATTACTCAATTTTATTATAATAACATATTTCAGATAACACATTCATCCAATAGAAAAATCCAGACAATTTTGGTCAACAGTTTGATCAGAGCATTTAAAAATGAAGAGAGGGACAATAGGTTAAACATATAATGTGTATGTACCTTTATATCTCTGTGCATTTTTCCTTTACTGTGAAGATAGTATAGTCCCTGGAGTTTCAAAAAAACAAAACACAAAAATTAACAAGATTTTACTACAGAGCTCTTTGGGATTTAAAATGATCCATTGAGTAGTATTCTCTATTTTTTATTTACTCATTACAGAAAGTCTTAAGGTAATCAATTTATTTTAATAAAGAAAAGAATCAAGAAAATGAAAAAGGCCAAGTTCAGTTGGAACCATTCATTTTCCTAAGTAATTTTCACTAAACTCTACAAATAGTTTGAAATAACTTAAAAAGTATTTGTGCAATTAGGATCAGAATGAGTTTCAATTACCAAAAGAATGCTTAATTTTCAAGCCTTTCCTTGGTATTAAGAGGAATATAAAAACATAAAGTAACAAATCCACAGCAGTTAAAATGTAGGAGTTCAAATTATCACACTGAGACTTTAAAGTACTGATATGCAGATGTAACTTGGGTTTATTACAAAAAACAATTAAAAATGTATTAATATTCAAGAGTTTACCAAACTAGAATATTTAATCCTACTTTACTTAACAGGTAATGCACAATAATTAAACATTAATTTTAATGAAGAATGTTACTTTTTAATTAGCACTGGATTTACCTGTAGTGTTTCTCGGCTAACATATGCAATTTGCAATTCTGACAGAGGTCCCGTTACTGTCAGAGAAGAAAATTAACATTAATAAAATTAGGCAAAGCATGTTTTTCAAAACTGACAATGTTTTACAAGTTCCATTAAGCAACAGGTTTAACGTTTAATAAATAACTCTAAAATGTAAGCTCCATGAGGGAAGGATTTTAAATAATCTGATTGACTCATTGTATCCTATGTACAGAACAGTGCCTAGCATGAAAAAGTTGTGCAATAAATGTTTATATAATGAATAAAAACCTGACATAGTCTCTGAAATTAGTTATAATTTTATACCTCACTAACCAATATTATTTCTTAAATATTATAAGAAAGAAAGCATGGCCAAAAGGTTTAGCTAGTTTTATAAAAAGCTTTTAAAAAATTGATGTGTTACATGTATTATGGCTCATTTAAAGTCAATGTTTTCCCCCCAAATTTTTAACTTTATAGCTATAAAATTAATATAAGTTCACTATAAAACATTTCAATCAACAGAGAAGTTGGAAAGTATAGGCCTCTTCCTTATTCTGTTACCTATAGTTTGGCCTATAGATTACTATACAACTTTATGCAGAGACATTTCATATAATATATGTATGCATCATACACAAAAGCATAAGTGGAATATTACACATACAGTTCTGAAACCTGCCCTTTTCACTTATCATGGCTACCTTCCTGCATCAATAAGTAGCTTAATCATATTGTAATATTTGAAAAATATTGATCCTTGTGCATCTATCCACTATGGAAGATATTTCAATTGTTTTCTCTTTTTCACTAGTCATCATTTTAGAGTAAAGAAATTCATTGGGAAAGCCTATGCTGAAAATCAAATTCCAATGATGGGAATCTTTGCTAATGACTTGATACCAAGATATAGTGAAGTGAAACAAAATCAGTATTCTATCCAAATAGCCTTTTAACATTTCCTTTATTACAATCAGCCCCTAAAATTACATAAGTGGCCCCAAACTAGATATATGAGCTCAAGTTCTATATGAAAAACTGAGAAAAATTTTTCAAAATATTTTCTCGGGAAAATTGACATCATGAATTACTGACATAATTTTATTTTACATTTATCAAAAAGCACACCTCCAGCAAAAGTATAAAAGCTACTCTACAGTTTGTGACAGTAACCCATTAACAGAACTAGAACAGAAAAAAAAGACAGTAAAAATTGTTTATTTTACTTTAAAAGTCTCATATACTACTCCATTGAAATCCCAATGAAAAATGTTCTAATAATTTTTTTAATTCCTCATTATCTAGCATCTAAGACAACATTCAATTGATGCTTCTTGAATACATGAGAGCAAAATTGACAATCTTTGTATTAATACTATTCACTTATCAACTGGATATTCTTTTGGCTTAGTATTAGTCATCAAGGCCTTTGCGTGTCTTCTATAAGTCTGAGTTTGAAATTTCAAGAACTAACTATATATAACATTCCTTCTATAGAATTAGCTAATAATTCAACTGCATATAGTTTTCCAACTTATAAAGCAAGTGCTCCTTTCATCCATATATATCTGAAATATCTTTATGTATCCAAACATACTTTGCTCAAAACAACATTAATGTTTTAATACAGTACATTACTTATATTAAGAAATTCTATTTAATCTCTATAAAATACAACTTTGGTCTTACCATGATAAATATCCTGTAAAGAGCCACCTCCACAAAACTCCATGCATATCCAAAGTTTATCTCGCCTATAAAGAGAAAATAAGCATGTACCACAGCTTCATGATTAAAATTATTTGTGCTAACAAATATTTTAAAGTTGTATTCTATAATCTTGAGAAACCATATAAATACAATGTGCTAAGAAAAAAAAAACTAATTTCTATGAGTAAATGAATTACCCAAGATTTTAATCCTTAAAATATACCAATTGTAGGATATAAAGATGCCATAAAGATGACCCATCCAGACGAGAGAAAATGTCCCTTTAGTTAAAAACTTCCCTCCCCCAGTTTACCCATCTGCCCGATGACAGTATTATAAAAGTTCAATGCTAATTAGAAGGCTCATGCCAAAATTATATGGAAGATTCATTACAGAATGGCAATACATCTCTAATCACTTTCACAGCACTCTCATCAACAAAACAGATAAAATGTAAACTTTATCCTTATATCTAAACTCAACAAAGATCTTTCCAAAATAATATGCTAATTTTTATCACTCACTTATCTTTAGATAGCATTTCTCTCTCACACTTACATTGTAAGACAGCATAATCATATAGACATAGGAGAAATCATTTGCAAAGATTTAACAGATTATTCCTTTGTTCATTCCTCCATTATTTCATCACAAAATGTATGAGGAAATGCATTATTCTTAGGGCAGAGATGGAATAGGAAGTCTCTGAACTCAGCAAGCTAAGTTTAATGCAGAAGAAAGACTCTGCCTTAATAATACGTCTGTCTCTCTCATCACTGCACTCACAATGCACAGAAGAATATCTGGCAAATGAATATTTGTTTCATACGTGAACAAATGAGTGGCTGAAAGAATAAACAGATTAGAAAAAGGGTCAGCAAACTATGGCCAGTGGGCCAAATCTAGCCTGCTGCCTGATTTTATATAGTCCAGGAACTAAAAATGTTTTTTTTTATTTTTAAATGGTTGGGAGCACTGGGGGGGAACTTTCTAAACCTTCTCCCAATTGAATCTAGGTAGGTCATTCTGTCAGAAACAATAACAGTAAAACAAAATGTTTGATGTGGTGATTTTAATATATTGAAAGCAATCAATTATTTATCTCATGAACTTAACTGATTTTAAGAGTTTTTTGTTTGTGCTAATATAGTAACTACCTGTACTGGGTTTGTTCCATAAAATACAAATTGATGCAGAAACTGTGTTCGGTTACTATTTGAACCACTGCCTATAAAGTAATTGTAAAGTACCTGTTAAAGAACCCATTTAAAATGTGTAACAGTCATTGACCTGGGGGGCAGAACCTATCCCTATGTGAACTGAAGTCTCCATTTACCCATCCTTAACCTTAATGAAGGTGGGCAATCAAAGCTGTCCCAGAGTGCTTAGAACCAAGAGAGTTGGTCCCCACGGCTTTTCACAAGCCAGGGAGAAGACAAGAATCGCCCAGTGTTTTCTACCTGCTGTGCCTACATCTGAAGGGTTAAAGTGTTTTGTACATGGATCATGAGAATGGGAGCTACAAGAAGTTATATACTTACACATCCTATAATATATCAAAACAAAACTGAATAGTTTTTTAAATACATAAGAAAACATTCACTGATGCTCCCTTTGGAAAGAACCTTATAAACCAGGTCACAGTATTGAACTCAGTTGCATATAGAAATGAATGGAAAAATGAGATTTGACCCCGAGGTCATCCCCTCTGGAATATGACTTGGGGAACCTGGCCTGGTCCTGCTAAACCAAAATAAGGTGGCAAATTCAGTCTTTCCAAATTCATTCAAAGACCTAGAAAAAGAAGAAGTCAATGAAATAATTATAGTTCCTAGTCCTTTGGACAAAATGAAGGAAACAAACGATACAATACTCTGAGGCTAAAAGCACAAAAGAAAAAGGGTTTCTAATAAAAATATAACAGGAAGAAGTGATCCTGACTTTCTAAATTCACCCAAGTCTAGAAGAAAGGGCAACAGAATGGCGTATTTAGAGCTCTATTCTACTACAGGGAGACTAACCATAAAAGTAATTTTTTTTCTGTCAGCTTTCTCACTGAAACCACATCCAGAATTCCCAAGAATACAACAGACAACTGCAGATTCTCATATTAGTTACAGAATTAGCATAAACAGATCGTAAATAAAAATTCCATTCATATAATCCTATCTTCAAAGCATGAAAAAAAGTACAAAACATGGACTAGAGCTAACTTTATTTTGTTAAATGTCTTAGGTGCTGGAATCATGATTGCTTTTCAAAAAGGAGACAATGTACCTGAGATAGCTTCCAAAATAAGCAACAATATTTGGGTGTTTACAGTCTTTCATCATAATAATTTCTTGCTGCACAACTGCAAAGTCTTCACCTAGAATTAAAAAAAAAAAAAGCATGTTGGATATTTAATAGGTTAAATAAGTTCCAAAATGTTCATTTATTTCAAAACATAATTAATGTTATTGATAATAATTTTAATGACAATTTCAGTCTTTGACAGAAAGTAAAATACAGTGACTAAAAGCACATACTCTGGTCCCAGACTTTCTGGATTCAAATCCCAACTCTGTCCTTTACTAAGCTGTGTGAATTTGGACAAGTTATTTGACCTCCCTGTGCCAATTTCTTCCTCTGTAAATGGGGATAAAAATAATTGCCTGTTGTGGGCCATCTGGTAAGCCAGTACTGCTAGAGTATAGGCCTCTTGGCCCACAAAGAACCTGTGGAGATACATTCGACACTCTCAGTGTATTAGGGTTCCTGCCCTAACTTCAAAAAGGATTAATTCTTTGTGCTAAAATTACATTGTTATTTGGTAAAAAGGAAAAAGTAATGTCTATTTGCTAGTGAATTATCTGATGATTATTTCTAAGGCATAATAGTAATAATAGCAAATGCTTATATAGCGCGTACTGATAATTCACTAACCCTAACACAGGAACCCCAATAACCCCAAGAGTGTCAAATGTACCTCCACAGGCTCTTGTGGGGCCAAGAGGCCTACACTCCAGCAGTATTGAGTTGTCAGGTGGCCCACAAACACAGGCTTAGCCTGTATTCCAAAGCCTTGTTCCAACTGGGCTGAGCCTGGTCAGACTATTAGCAAATAATCTCTTTTCTCCTACTCCCTCCTGCCCAAATTCTTCAAAATAAGATCTGGCAATGCTATAGCAGGGTCACATGCCGTGGCTCCTGAATGAACACTTGTCAGAGAGAGAAAAAGAACTGCAGTGAATGCAAATGTGGTGAGCCAGAGACCATGCAAAAAGAGAACAAATAGAGGTGCTTACATTTAAATCAAAGTAACTTTGTATCACTGTTCCAGTTTTTAAAGTATTACATGCTTGAAGAGCCTGATTAGATGTATATTAGGCAAAGTAAAAAACAGAAGTCTTCCAAAGTATCCCTCAAATCGTAAGTATGAGGTTGTGAGGGCAAGCCCTAACATTTCTGGCCTTGGTCTTTTCCTATTGCAAATGTAACAAGGTACTGAAGTCGCCCAACCATGAACCACTGGACCCAATATCAACCCACCTCACTGCCCCGTTACAAGGAAAAAAGTAACGGAGAACAGACTGTATGTCGGGGTCGTAATTTCTGCAATGAAGAGGACACAAAATCGAAGACCTCCAAAGGGAGAATAGGAAATTTTTATGCCTCCAAAATTTCAGAAGAAAATCACTGGACTGAAATCCTCTTCTGAGTTCAATTCCCACCATGAAAAATCCCAGATTTTTAGTACATTAAAAGAAATCCAAGTTAAAAATAATAAAGCCCAAATGAGACTAATACCAATTTTCAGAACTATATTAAATTTTTTGAAAATTCTAAATTTTGCTTTCTCACCTGCCTCTTAACTATATTTTTCCCCAATCTTGTGAAAGAGTTACATGAGATCAAAGTTGACCTAGTCAGAGTGAACTCTAGGACTTTAGTTTGATGGTCAGATAACAGTTCTCTTTCCAGGGGTAGCCCTGAGAGTTTAGTAGTCAACGCACAACCTCAAAGGGAACCAGCTTTAGAATAAAGTTGATCTGCAGAAAACACTGAAGAGAAACAGGAAGGAGGAGGAAAGCATATGATGATGTAATTGCGCTACCTCAGCTGCCTCTAGATATACCTATATCTCTCTATATAAAAGCCTAAGCGACCAAACAACCGAACGACAGGGACCCCATGCACGAGTTTGTGCACTGGGCCTCTAGTATAATCAATAAATTCCCTGCATTCTTTAAGCCACCCTGAGTTGTGGTTTCTGTTACAACTGTAAGCATCACAATTTCTAAGGTGATCTGTGCACATATCCCTGCCCTAATGACACTGCAAATGTGCCTGCATGTCTATGTCCTCACTAGAACATTAGGTCCTCTAGGACAGGATTATGCATGCCTTAATCATCTTTGTATCTCTAGCACCTAATATGTGATTAATAAAACTGTTGCCTGAGTGAATCTACCATACCTCATTATTCTTCTCCATGATGATATGTCTGCATCTAGTTTAATTTCATCCAGTTATGCAATTAGTTGCTTATGTACTACTCTTGAGCTTTCTACTGAACCCTCTGAGTGGCTTTAAGCCTTCAACTACTTCTTTCCCATTAAATGTTGTTGATCCAAAGTACATTATCTTTTTCCTATTAAGTCATTTCCATGTGATTACAAGAATGGCAAAATTAAATTCAACATATTTATGGATGGAAAGAATCCAAAGAAATAATATAGAACTCAGTTTTTAAAGGTAACTGGTAAAAACAGATTTGGGAAAGAATAAAGAAAGCAGAGTTTAATACATTAATAATACAAAGGAGCCTAATGGTGGATTTAAAGAACTTTCTTCAAAGCTCAAGTGAAGGGATTTCAAAGAATAGATTAACAAGCTCCCTCCCCAATTCTAGAATACTTCATAGGATACTGTAGAACAGAATGATTAGACTACATAATTTAAAAATTATTCCCAATTCTGAGATTGTTTTTAGACATTAAAGTGAAGAATACATCTTCCAGAAGATGGCAAAAAACCCAAAAAATCCTAACTGAGAAAAACAGGCAAGCCTACCTATAGAGCAGATAATGAATAAACCAAGTAAACAGAGAGAAAAATACAAACTAATACATGCAAAATTCTTAAACATGATATTATTAAGCATTCAATAAATGTTAACTGTGTGTAGTAGAGCGAATAATGACCCCAAAGGTATTTAGTTCCCAATCCCTGATACCTGTGAATGCTACTTTATGGCTAAAGGAGTTTTGCAGATGTGATTAAATTAAGGATCTTGGGATGGGGGATTATCCTGACTTGTGTATTTATATTCATAAAGCTAAATCACTAAACAGACACAAAGGGTTGGGCATGAGGAAGAAACTGCAGATATATTCAAAAGTCCTTTGTTATTTGTTTATTTTTGAGCATTATTATCTTTAAATGTGTAAATTCTAATTTATCCAGTATAGTCAGCCTCAAGCCCATAATATGGCTCTAATATATGTATTTTTATTTTATTTATTTTTATGTTTTGGATCAAATATATTAAAGTGTAGCTAAGCAACCCATGATTAACCATGCAAAGTAATGATCATAAATGATGAAACACCAACTTTCTTTGTGATGGCAATAAACACAGAAGAGCACTGAGTAAACAACTGGTGGTAAGGGAGCTACTGAAGTGCTCCAGGGAGACAGGAAGAGGAGCCAGATACATCCTTACCCTGGTGTCTTGCCACTCTAAGATGAAAATAAAGGGGAGAGAGCTCCTCTCCTGCCTCTCAGGACACAAAAAAACCAACGTGAAAAGAAGATTTGCAAAGAAGGAAAGAAGATTTATAAAATATAGTTTTGGAGATCCATGAAAAAATTGTAAAATGAGGTCTTACTGGTGTCTCTTCACACTTTAAAAATTTTGCCCTACAATTTAATAAATGCTGCTCTGATGGAAATAAAATATAATACCCTATTTTCTCACTATGAATTTCCTGCTGGTCAATCTCAGTACATTTAAACGAAGCAGCCTTTCAGTAGGGTTAGAGGCAAGGCAGTCTAGTCCTCAGGGACTCTACTTCAGGACTAGACTGCACTAAGCGAAGCCAGGGTCCTCCTTCCTCAGGAGCTGAGCAGTTAAGATAGATGTAGGTCTTTTCATTGTGTTTGAAAAGGAATGAGTTTCTCTGAGAAGTTGCTACTTAATTAATCAGTTATCTGTTTTTATATTCTACTTTAATAACTAATACTGCAAATGGGTAATAATAAGCAATTTAATTATCAAATTTTTTTTTTAGGATAAAAAAACTAAAGAACAATGGGCTAAGATCAGAGGAATCAGATCCAAAAAAAGATGTGAGACTTTGGACAAATTATAAATACTGTGCCTACTTTTCTGCAATATGACATGTGAGTGTTAGGCCTAAGAGAATGTTCACAATAGCTCCCAGCCACCAGTATTTTCTATGACAAAAGTTTTGAAAACTGTAAAACATTTGACAACCATCTAGATAGATGACCTAAAAAGTTCCTTAGGACTCTACAATTCCGACTTTAAAACGTAAGAAAAAAAAAAAGATTGAAGAGATTCATAATGTAGAGAATTATAATACCTCGTAAGAACCTGAAAGTGAAGCCTGAGAGGATACATATTTGAGTTCTCTTCTATGAGCAAGTTCTCTCCATCTTTAGTTTTCCCTTAAAGTAAGTCTGAAGAGCTGGCAGGGTGCTAGGCCAAACAGCTTGAAGACCACAAGAACAAACCTGTAATCTGATAAAGTCAGGTTCACTGACCCAATGCAATGAGAAAAACCACACACCAGAGAAACCTTGGGCCATCTCACACAACAGAAGATGAGTTATACTAGTAAGATTCTGGGAAGAGTGGGGTTTAGGTGACAGTTAAACGAAGCAGCCTTTTAGTAGGGTTTGGGCAAAGCAGAGTCTAGTCCTGGTCCTAAAGGAGTCTACTTCAGGACTAGACTGCCAAAAGTGAAGCCAGGGTCCTCTTCCCTCAGGATCTGAGAAGTTAAGATAGATGTAGGTGCCATGTCCAGAAACCCCTTATCTGGAGCTGTGCATCTCGGCTGTAAATCAAGAGTGCCTCTCTATGTCAGAATGACAGATTCCCCAAGGAAGAGGGGGAAGTTTGATTCTTGCTGATATGATTACACACAGCCAAGTTTCTGGTAGTCTATGATTTTTTAGAACAAAGTTTCTCAGAGAGTAAGCAAGCCACAGTCACTCAAAGGCAGGATTTGTTCGGACACTTGCCAGCTGCACCATTCTTGGGAGAAATACTGTTTGTGAGACTTTATCTGTCTGTTACTCCAGACTGATAAATGGTGAGGCAGCTTTTCACTCTCTCCATTAGTTACTTGAGATTACTGTCTCCACTGTACTCCAGAGTGAAGAACAGCTTGCTAATTAAACTGATTACATTATACTCTTCATAAAGAAGTTTATTTGCTGGTTTATCTTTTGGTTTGTTTATTATGCATCAATTTTGCCACAAAAGATGTCCAATTTGAGCAAATATACTGGTTTTGAAGAAACACTTATATCTTACCCCAAGAAATTCATTTAGTACTCATTAAATGGGAATAAAACTCACTTAGCTTGTTAAGTGGTGGCTCTACCTCTAAAGATTTTTCATATGCTAGTTCTAGGAAACTGTGTCTGTGTGTGTGTGTGTGTGTATGGGTATAATTAAACAAACATCCAGCTAAACCTAATAATACAGTTCCCACACCACTACCAACTTCCGAGAGTGGTGAAAGAGTAGGCTATATTGCCAGGGTTCAAATCTCAGCTTGCCACTAATTAGGGCAAGAAACTGAAACTTTCAGTGCTTTGTTTCCTTATTTTTTAAAAAGAGAATAATATAAGGATTAAATGAGCCAACAAATGTAAAGCACTTAGAACAGGGCCTGGCACAAAATAAGTTTGAATAAATGTTAGCTATTTATTAGCAAAACTGTCATGGTTTAAACCAACCCATCTCTAAGATATCTTCTTAGTCTCACATCTTCATTAATTTGATTTATCCCATAAATATTTACTGAGTATCTACTAGGACACTTCCTGAGAAAGAAGGCACTAAACTGATTTGAAGGATGATGTATGTACAAACTACTTCTGATTAGAAACTATTCCCATCAAGTAACTATTTATTAGTAACTAAAAATGAAGGCCCTGATTCAAATGCCAAATTTTTAATTTTTAATCCCAGATTTCACCAATTTCAATTATCCCATTAAATTTCTTATAATAAACTGAAGAGTAGGGGACTCAGAGAAAAGAAAAAACTATCTTGCGATGTTAGAATATAATTAAACTATATCAAATCTGTAAATAGGTATAACTGAAAAACCATTTTTTTATTCATTATATTTCAGTGTGGTTTGATCATAGTCAACTCATCCTTCAAATTTCATCTTAATGGCACTTCTAAAAAGTCTACTGATAATCTAAATCAGGGCTGAGCAAAGTACAGCAGCAGGTGGCTTGCTTTGCTAAGAATGGTTTTTCCATTTTAACAGGGAGAGAGGTAGGAGAGAGGAGAACTGTATACAGAGACCATAGGTGGTCCACAAAACCTAAAATATTTTATGATCTGGCCTTTTTACAAAAGAAGTTCCCCCCTTCAAAAATATTTTGAGTGGATTTCTGTTATACTGAAGCTAAAACCTATTTTACCAATAAATTCATATTATCAGTTTGTAGTGGAAGAAGCCATCAGAAAGGTAGCATCATTGCTCTCGAACTCAATTTTGACACTAACACAATTGCTTGCTTATAACAGAAAAGAAAAGGAGAAATGGGGTTTTTAAGAGTGGATAAACAATAGTGTATAGTTAACTCAGAAAGCTATGGGCTTTGCGGGAAATGGGAGGAATTCAGGGGTAGAATACAGTTGAAACTGACAAAAAACATGGAGTAGTCCTAGAGGCTTTACAATAAAGTTGGAAAGTAACTAAGACAAAATGTGAGAGCTAGGTCTATTGAGAAAAGTGAGACTCAGGAAGTGAAGTTACTTGCCCAAGTTCACAGAGCAAGAGAGTGGGACACAAAGAACTGGACTACAACCACCCAAATCTCAGTTCACCTCTTTCCACTGCACCACGGCCCTCACCGCAGGACACTGTTAACCGGGGGACACACCACTGGCAATGTGAGACAAGTTTGCTCAACTGAGTTCAGAAGGAACAAAGTCTCTTCAGGAGTTTTCCCCTTCCCCCAATAATTAATTATTTTTTAGGAACAGGTTGAGCAAGATGTCTTCAGGTCTCAAAGAGGTGTAGGAAAGAGTAGATACCACTTCCATTTCCCAGAAAATACTGGGAACAATAAGAGAATGCTAACGAAACATCATTAAAATAAGCCTTAAATATAGCTAGTTGCGTACAGTAATAAGAAACATCAAATTTCAATTAATTTACCTGGTTCCAACTTTATTACTTTAATTGCTGCTAATTCACCAGTGTTAACATTCCGGGCCTAAAAAAAAGAAGAAAAGATAATTGTGAAAAAAGCTTTCATTAAAAATTTTATAAAATGTCATAAGCTGTTTATTTTCAATTACACGGAAATGTTTTTTTAAGCAATAACTGCAAAAATGATTTACATTTACAAAATAAACACTATGTTCTTTACAATGAATTTCATTATTAATTTAAGCATAAATTTTACAATAATGATCATAATAGCTAATATACACATAAGCCTTATTATGTGCCAGGCACTATTCTAAGTGTTTTTATATAAATTCATTTAACCCTCACAACAATCTTATGAAATAGGTACTCCTATTATTCCCGTGTTGCATATGTGAAAACGGAAGCACAGAGAAGTTAAAGAACTGGCCAAGGCCATTATAGCTGGTAAGCAACAGTGCTGGGATTCCGACCGAGGCAGTCTGACTCCAGAGTCTGAGCTTTAAAGCACTACACTCTATTGCATTCATTCAGCCTGGTTAAAATTTTGAATTTATTAACTATTTTTAAACTTGTTAATTTAAAAACCTTGGAATATGAAAAGCTAACATAATTATATAACCATGAAAACAGCCCCTGTGTATCTGTTTATACACACCTGATGGCCCAATCAAATCACTGCAGTTCAATACAAACCAAATATATTTTTATAAGCCACATATTAAAAATCACTTTAAAAATTACAGGCAGAAACTGTCTTTTCAATTTGTATTAAATGGCAGTAATTACTTGTCAATTTAAAATGTTCTTTAATTGCATAAGAACTTTTAAACTATTATAACATATAATATTTGAACTATATACTAAAACTTAATAAATTAATTTTTATATCAACCAATGAAGACCAATACATGTGATTCCCTGATCACAGAAAGATCCATTCATGTGACCAGAATTACTCTTAGTTGCAGCACTCATATTAATGAATTGGTGAAGATCAGTGAATCACTCACAAGGGATGATAATAGCACCAACAGTGGAATGCTAAGAATACTGAGGCATTAAAAATATCAGCCAAGGATATAGAAAGGTAGCTGGATATGTGACACAGCCATTGCTGAAATGTGAAATTTAACCTTTTAACTCAAAAATAAAAACAAAGGTACTAAAAGATCTCCTTACACAAATTAAGAATGAAGTTGAAATAAAATTTGCAGGAAAAATTAATTCCTTAAATCCCCATAATTAATAAACACTTATGATGCCAACTTATGACAGGCAGTGCACAGCAGATATCAACTGTTATTTCAAAGTAAATTTAATTTCCACTAAATGAGATAGGCATTTCAAATAGATAGTGCTAGATAAGTATTTATTGCCTTCCTTAGATTGAGAAGATACACACACACACACACACACCCTAATAAAAAAGAAAATCAGAATATCATTATGGAAACATTTTGTAAAGGGGGCAGAGTGTAACTGTAAAATATTCAGGTATATCACATCAATGTTAGTCATAAATCTTCTCAAATACTATCAAAACTACTTGCCTTTTCTTATACTTCGTTATCTTTTCTCTGTTAGGCTCCTCCCTGATATTAATACGCCGTCCTTCAATCCACATCTTTTTTAGCACTTATCCAAATAAAATAAGACAAGACACTACTCTCTCAAATTCTTAATTCTCCACTTAAAAATCCTGTCATGATTTTGTTTTGTTTATGAAAGAAAATTCAGAATGAGAGTTATTTCATTATGAAATAGCTGAGAAAATGTGAACCAATAGAAAGCTAGGATTATTTTTTATAGATGAAATTTTGTTCCCAACTGACCACAAGAGGGCACACTCTCTATTGACAACACAAGTTACACAAAGTGTGTTTGTCCAAAATGGCTGCTGTACACACTACATTCTTCTAAAATCAGATTTATTAATAGTTAACACCAGCACATATTTAACAACAACAACAACAAAACTATGACAGTTTATTAAAGCCAATATTTACTATTGGCCTGACTTTTGAATTTTTTAAAATTTAAATCAGTCCAGAATTTTCTAAAGGATAAAAATTATGGTTCTCTAGTCAATCAGAAAACAAGACAGCTAAAATCTTTGCCTTCTGAAATGTTTTCCAATATGTAACTTATTTGACAGAAATAAGATCATTCACAAAAAGAAGGGAAGAATAATTCAAATGCTCAGAAAACAAATTTGGGCTTTTTATCAAAATCCATATGCTTATTAATAAAAGGTCTTTAAAGCATATGAGTCATCAAGAATCTTGCTCTACTGGCTAAAATAAATCATAGTTAGCTGTCTCTAAATTTACTATGGTCAAGGTGACACACTGAGGTAAATTTCAAAATATTATCTCTAATACCCTGTAACTACTATTCTTTTTTTAATCACCTAGAGCAGTGGTTCTCAACCTTCCTAATGCTGCGACCCTTTAATACAGTTCCTTATGTTGTGGTGACCCCCAACCATAAAATTATTTTCGTTGCTACCTCATAACTGTAATTTTGCTACTGTTATGAATCGTAATGTAAATATCTGATATGCAGGATGTATTTTCATTGTTACAAATTGAACATAATTAAAGCATAGTGATTAATCACAAAAACAATATGTAATTATATATGTGTTTTCTGATGGTCTTAGGCGACTCCTGTGAAAGGGTTGTTCGACCTCCAAAGGGGTTGCGACCCACAGGTTGAGAACCGCTGACCTAGAGCAATTTATTAGAAAAAAAGAACATGAGCAAGATAAATATTATAAAATATCACCATGTGTAGATTTCGAATTTTCTAATTCAGTATCAATAACAAAAGTTTTCAGACTTGTTCAGGGCAGAAAGCTGAAGATAAGTACTCTTAAGGATCTAGCCCCCTTCTGCCATCATCACTGACTTGCCAACCAATCTTCACATGCTCTCCAAGTGATGTTCTTGAGTTTAAAACGCTTTAGGAACACACACCAATGCTTTAAAGACAAAAATTCAAATTCCTTGTCAGAGAATTTAAATTTTTCACTAAATATAACACTTTTATAAAACCTTTATTTAGACACTTAGAGGCCCGGTGCACAAAAATTCATGCAGGTGGGGGGCGGGTCCCTCATCCTGGTCTGCATCCTCTCACAGTCTGGGACCCCTTGGGGGATTGTCCACCTGCTGGCTTAGGCCCACTCTCTGGGGGATCGGGCCTAAGCTGGCAGTCAGACATCCCTCTGGCAGCCCAGGAGCCTTCAGGGATGTCTGACTGATGGCTTAGGCCCGCTTCCCATGAGGAGCAGGCCTAAGCCACAGTCGAATATCCTTAGTGCTGGGAGAGGCTCCTGCCACTGCTGCTGTGCTTGCAACTGTCAGCCCGGCTTGTGGCTGAGCGGAGCTCCTCCTGTAAGAGCGCACTAACCACCAGGGGCAGCTCCAGCGTTGAGCACCTGCCCCCTGGTGGTCAGTGCACGTCATAGCGACTGGTCGTTCTGCCTTCCAGTCGATTTGCGTATTACCCTTTTATTATATAGAATAATTCACATATCATAAAGTTCACTCTTTTAATATGTACAATCTAGTGGTTTTTAGTATATTCACGGTTATGTAACTATCAGTACTATCTAATACTTAGAATGTTTTTATTGCCCCAGAAATCTGTATTTAAAGCTATCAAGGCACTTTAGTCAGATTCTGGGACTGTGTCTAAGGCACAGTGCCCTTTGAATTTTATGAAGTATAAATACCAACTTCTAAGTCTGAAAGAGATGGTTTTATGAAGGAGATACCATTCAAGCAGAGGCTTGAAAGATGGGCTGGATTAGAACAAACACATAAGAGGGATGGGAAAGAGGGCATAGAAAGAAAAGCATGAGGAAGGCACAGGGACAGAAAACAGGCTATTTTAAGTATATTGGGCAGGCCAAACTTCAGGGTGTCTCCCATATAAATACTACCTTTCAAGGAAAATGGCTAACCCACAGCCGCTGCTGAAGAAATAGTTTTGTTTGCTTTTCCACCGTTACGTGGACTAGGTATACTAGTAAGCCTACCACCAGGGCAATCAATTCATAGGAAGACATTCCCAGTTTATGCCTATTAATAGTGGCCACTTTCACTCTCAAATTTACAATTAAAATTGTATTTAATATGATAAATTATAAGGCCACTCTACCAAGAAACTCTGAGCTGACATGAAAAAAGGAAATAGACCTATCAAATCTCAAAAATAGGGATCAGCAGAACATGACTGTTTCTATCAATGTGGTTTTATTGGAATACAGCTATGTTCATTTAAGTATTAGGTCCATGGCTGCTTTTACAATACAATGGTAGAACTGAATAGCTGAGATAGAGAGCAAATGGCACACAAAATCAAAGTATTTACTTCCTAGCCCTTTACCGGAAAAGCAGAACCCTGCTGTAAAACAGCACAGTCCAGTAAAACTTTCTGTGTTGATGAAAATGTTCTATATCTGTACTGTCCAATACAGTAGCCCCATGCCACATGCAGCTACTGATAAACTGAAATGTGGCTAGTACAACTAAAGAACTAACTTCTATTTAATTATTTATGTATGAAATAAAGTATATAAACTTGGGAATTTTAAATTTTTTTAATTGAGACATAACCCTGGGTTAGTTTTAGGTGTATGACATAATGATTTGATATATGTATATATGACAAAATGATTATAAGTTTAGTTAAGATCCATCACATCATACATAGTTACAACTTTGTTTTCTTATAATGAGAATTTTTAAGATCTACTCTTGGTATCTTTCAAATATACACTACAGTGTTGTTCACTATAGTCACCATGTTGTATGTTATACCTCCGGGAATTAGTTTATAACTAGAAAAAAAATCAACTTTTGAAAATATAGTTCTAGTTGTTAGAACACTTATAGAGATTTATGTAACCATTACCACCATTGTCTGGAAACAGAAACTCCCTTGACAGTTCTATCTTTCCTACCTCAACTCCTGGCAATCACTATTTTGAACTTTGCCAGCACAGTTTTGTCTTTTCAAGAATTTCATATAAATTAAATCATTCACTATGTTATTTTTGAGACTGTCTTCTTTCGCCAAGTCGCTATATGTATTACTAGTTTGTTCCTTTTTTCTTGTTGAGTAGTATCCCATTGTATGAATATACCATAGTTTATCCATTACGAGTGGAAGGACATATTGGCTATTTTCACTTTTTGGCAAATATGAATCGAGCTGCTATATATATAGTTGTGTACAAGTTACAAAAATACCCAGGAGACGATGGGTATATGTTTAACTTTATAAGAATCTGTCAAACTCTTTCCAGAGTTGCTGTACCGTTGTTCATGTCCAGCAGCAATGTATGAGAGTTGCAGTTCTTCCACATCCTTGCCAGTAGCTGGTATTGTACTTTTTATTGTCACCATTCTAACAGGTGTTTAATGGTATCTCATCATGGTTTTTGTTTGCATTTCCCTAACGACCAATGATTAATAATGTGCTTATTTGCCACCCTTTGGTGAAGTGTCTTCATGTGTTTTGTCCATGTTTTAACTAAAATGTTTATTTTTATATTGTTGAGTTTTGTGAATATATACAAGTTCTTTGCCAAGTATATGACATGCAAACATTTGCTCCCAGTCTATAGCTTGTCTTTGCATTCCCTTAACTGTGTCTTTTGCAGAGTATCATGGACTGAACTGTGCATCCCTCAAATTTATATGTTGAAATCCTAAGCCCCAGCACCTTAGAATGTGATTGTATTTTGAGATAGGGCCTTTAAAGGGTCATTAAGGTGAAATGAAGCTACATGGGTGAATCCTAATTCAACAGGACTAGTGTTCTTCTTAGAAGAGGAAGGGACAGCAGAGATGTGCACATACAGAGGAAAGTCCACGTGAGAACAAGCAAGAAGGAAGTCACCTGCAAGCCAAGGAGAGAAGCCTCAGGAGAAAGCAACACCTGAACCTTAGACTGCCAGTCTGCAGAGCTGTGAGAGAGTACAATTTCTACTATTTAAGCTAGGCCAACTGTGGCATTTGTTATGGCAGCCCTAGCAAACTAATGCACAGAGCAAAGTTTTTACTTTTGATGAAGCCTAATTTATTACTGTTTTCTTTTACATATTGTGCTTTTGGTGTCCAACATCTTTTTGCTTAACCCAAAGTCATAAAGATACTCTCCTATGTTTTCTTCTAAAAGAGCAAGTTTTACATTTAGATTTATGATATGTTTTAAGTTAATTTTTAAGGTATAAAGTTTAGTCAAGGTTCTTTTTTTTTGCATTTATCTATCCAAATGTTCCAAAGTACAGGCTGTCCCAAAAAAAGTATACATACTTTAACAGCTGATAGCTCAATTTTGAAAATGAAATACAGTTTAATAAGCACTGCCTTTATAATTATTCAAAGTGTGTATATACATTTTTGGGGACATCCTATATTTGTTGAAAAGACTATCCTTCCTCCAATGAATTACCTTTCACCTTTGACAAAATGAACTGGCTATATTTGTGTGGGTCTATTTCTGGATTCTGTATTGCCCCATAGATATTATGTCAATCCCTTGCCAATACCACACACACCCTTGATTACTACAGCTTTAGAGTTTTAAAAACAGATATTGTGATTCCTCCAATATTTTCTTTTCTGAAACTGCTTTACTCTAGTCTTTTGCCTTTCCATATAAATTTGATAATTAGCATGTCTATATTTACAAAAAACTTGCTGGGATTCTGATTGGAATTGCATTAAATGTGTAGGTCCAATTTGGGGAGAACTGACATCTTTGCTTGTAGAGTCTTTAAGCAAAGTACGTAGTACATGAACACTACTTTCTATTCAGATTTTCTTTGATGTCTTTCATTGGTGTTTCACAATTATCAGCATACAGATCCTATACATTATTTTATTTCTGACGTAATAGTTATGTGTGGCTAGTGAACAACTGTATTAGACATAAAGGTTCAAAAAGTCTAAACTTGGAAATTCTGGGAAATAGTGCCACCATACAATGTAACCCAATGTAACTCCATGAGAAAATGATGCCATAAAATTGTGCCAGTGCCTCAGCGAGCAGGACCTTGGGCAAAGTGAAGTTTTGAAGAAACAGGAAAGATACAATTGAGAAGGCAGTCAGTAAGAGCAGAGAACACAACAAATGCAGAGAGAAAATAGAGACCTGAGGAAGGAACAGATTTCCAAAACTGCCTTGAGGTCCTGACACCTTTCCAGGTCCACAGGCTATTGTATCTTCTACAATAGCCTCTCTTTTCTTGAATTAACTTGAATGGCTCTTTGTTTCTTAAAACTGATGATTAAAGATCTAAATTTCTAGGATTATATCATGCTAATTTCAAAAAGAAAAACAGACTGAGACTATCCTAACTTTAAAAAAATGTACTTAGCTAATGATTGGATATAGATGTGGAAAATAATCTGTGAGTGAGAAAAGATATCAGTAACATATTTCAAAGTCTGATTTTAAGTTGTTTGAAATTCAATATGGGTTTGTTCTATATCAATAACACCATTAAACAGAAATTGGTAGACTACAAATGCCAATTTAATTAATATGAATAAAACTTAACAGTGGCATTGAGTTTGGGGAAGGACAAGGAACCAGGTAGGTAACCAAATGCCAACTTCCCATCAAGAAGTAATGGCAGCTGAGTCTCAAACTCCAGTGTGAGAGATGCAAATTAAAACCACAATGAGATATCACTTCACACCTGCCAGAAAGGCTACCATCAATAAATCAACAAACAACAAGTGCTGGTGAGGATTTGGAGAAAAGGGAACCCAGTGCACTGTTGGTGGGAATGCAGACTGGTGTAGCCACTGTGGGAAAACAGTATGAAGTTTCCTCAAAAAAATTAAAAATGGAACTGCCTTGGACCCACTTCTGGCAATATATCCTATGAATCCGAAACACCAGTGTGAAAGAATATATATA